TCTTGCGAAAGTTTGACATTTTTATATGGTGTGGATACACTAATAAGTTGCTTGGATGATAGGAAGTGTCTGGCGTGGTAAGAGCCACTAAATTTGAACAGCAAGGGGCAGGTATATTTCCCCAACTTCTTGCGGAGACGGGTAACTTGGCATTCTGTAGAAGACATGTTACAAGCCTGCAGACATAAGGCTTTTGCTTGCTTGATCGGTTCGTGGTCGGGTATGTTGTATACTAATACATTATGTGAGGACATAATCCTTTTATTAACCTCTGTAGCAATGAAATCTAGGACACTTTCTGTTTTTAATAAGGTTTCTGTACTGGCTTCTAGATTAGGCTGACAAAGATGGAGCAGTGGTAGAACAACTTCAAGCTTAGCGTTCATGTCTTGTAGTTGCTTCTGGAGGGTTATCAAGTCTTCCTTGTTTTTACGCGAAGTGTTATATAGCTCCGGTATGAGATCGACTACCTTAACTTCAGGACCTCTTTTATGGCTTGATGTCGAACCACTTAGTGAACGTGCTCTTTTAGTTGAGGCGCTAGGGTTAGGTTTAGGTGTATATATAGCACATATACGTTTGTTAGGGTGGACCATGGTGTGGCAGTAGTAGTTACTCGTTTATTGGGTTCGTCAATACCGAAGAACAAGTGAAGTAACCAGAAGTCACAGAAGGTTTAGCAACGACTTATGTATCAAATATGACAGTTGCTAGCGAGTGTTTCTTTACACTTCAGGCAACGTATATTGCGGAACTATTGTGTCTCGAAGCTAACAGCGTTGGTTCGTAATTAAACTGAGTGTTACAGACAAATAACTTTTCTTCAAGTTAGTCCTTGTTTTGACTTCCCTGTTTTCTCAGTAATTTCTTGGGTTCCGCTGTGTATATCAAAGTGGGTGTCTCTTTAACGTTCCAGAATAGGCGTATGATGCTCAGAAAGTTGAGTTTCTGAGAATACCCAAGTTTTCTAATACCCCCCAAATGGACCGATCGCAGTTAATCAGTATCTTCTAATCAGAGGATTTGTCTCTCTTGAGCTCCACTGAATATTTGCGTGGACACTGGCATGCTCGTTTAGTGTGCATAGGGTTTTCGTTAAGTACAACTTAATTAGTTAAGTATACCGGTTGCCTATATGAGGCTTCTGCACTTCATTTCGGGGGGAATCGCCGTATTTCTGCGTGTAACATGTCCACTTCATAGACTCACTGGTTGTTAAATCGTTGGTCTGTAAAACCCTTGCCTATCCGTTGGAAAGTTACTACTTCCGGGTTTACAAGGCCAGTGTTTTAGACTACGAAATACTTTTCATACGGTGAGCTGTATATGCGCCTTATCAAGGTTTGAGACCATTGGCATCAAGACCACTTACAGAAGGTGAATTTTCATGCAGGTAATCTCAGATTCATTTAAGGCAGTATCATCATTAGGAATACTTGACCGAAAAAGTGAAACGTAACCACTTTCTGATCGTGAGGCCCCCAGCCTAGTGGATAGGAGCTAATCGTCACGAACAAGTCTTATCTTTCCTACCTTGTGGAGAGTAGTTTTCCCAGTGTAATTTGCCCAGGCATGAATATCTTTGTTATTATTTTTGGGTGTAGGTAGCAGCTTATGGCCTGGGTATTTACCGGCAAGGTTAATGTGCATTGTGCAAACGACGTGAATGCTTAAGGGAAGGCGTTTCTATTTTCCGAAGTTTTAGTCGCTTGGGTCTAGTGGCAGTGTACACGTAAATGTGCAAGCAAACCACGCATTCATATACTTCTGTTAAGTTTACAGTTAATGCTTCAAAGCTGATCGAAATATCAATATTTGAACAGTGAATGTTAGACCTTTGACGTCGTGAAAGAGGAATTCCCGCCATTCAGTACCCAGTGCACCCACTATGGTAGCATGAAACGGGAAATATGGCTTTGGCTCACTTTCTTGGAGATTTCGTATCTGCGAATTGCACCATGAGTCAAATGTTAGTTTATTTTCCAAATTTTTAGGGATGTCAGAGACTGCATGTGGAGTTTCCTAAGAAATCGCGATGGGTATGTTCCCGTTTTGACAAAGATAAAGTCTTACCCCGGCTGGGACAGTGGAAGGGTGTGCTACAAATGATAATCCAATATACAGCCATTTTAATGCTCTTGATAAGTGTTGAGGTCCTTGCGAATGCAAAAGCGAATTAAGCGCTCCCATCATATTACTTGCTGCACTCTTACTGTGTATGATTGTGACTTCTGTTCTGTTAAAGTCTACGTAAATGCAGTTTGGGTGGGTGAATCCTCTTGCCACTGCACGTGCCGCAAAATGGCACAGTCTGGCAGAGAATAGGTGTCAGTTAACTCGAAACGTGTCGGTATTTCCAGTTACTGTTTACAAGTGATTCTACGCTTCTCCGTCAACAACTACAGATGAACTATTTAAACGTTTTATATATGCATTTGTGAAGACGGTCATTTCTCCTCAAATATCGTTTCAGTTTGCCGATGCGAACTCCCAACACGATTATCAGTGGTGTTATCCAGAGTAAACGTTTCAGTCAACTATGCCGATGCCCACACTGCTTTCTTCGGCAGACAGTTTTGTCATAGGTGTGTGACGATGGCACGATCCACGATGTTGATTAAGTGCACACGTTAGAAGGTCATTGGAAAACGAAGTATCAATTTACGACACTACTTGTTTTGATAGTTCGATCACAAACATTTGTGTGCTAGGAGTGCCCCTCACTTTACTCATGAGCTGTTCCACTGCTCCTACAACACTTTCTGTTCTCTTTCATACTGTCCATACGAACAAAACAGGCCTAGGGTGCACAAAGTTATACGTTAATCAGGAGGAGAGAGAGTACTTGCAGGATACCTGTTTTCGTGTGTTGAATAATTTCAACTTTCCTTGTTTGCATCGCAAGCGGGGTTGACAACAAGAACTCTCCCATGCTGATAGTGCAGAAGAACACACACTAGATATTAGTGCCAGCTATAAAAGAACGATGGCGAGGGCGAGCGCCATCACGCTTTTCCTAGGCAGACAACTTAGAGCTCCAGTTCCTAAACCACTGGAGGAGGTTATAGAGATAATCACTGGGACCATCAGTCAGAGTGTACCAGAGGTAACACACAGACAGTCAGTGAGAACCTCATGGTTAAAGCGTGGGACAGAGAGGCTTACCCAGAGCAAGAAGCAGGCTTGGTTCAAGTGGCGTTCATCACGCAGGGAGTCTGACTTCTTGAACTACAAAAGGATTTGCAACCACTGCAACATTAGAGGGCGTAGCTACAGATTTTCTCATCAAACAAACTTGGCGGAGAGTTAACAAAGCAATCCCGAAAACTTGTACCGCTTCATGTCTAGAAGGAAGTCGACCAGTAAGGGAGTGAATCTTGTCACAGGTCATGATGGGAGTGTACTGGGCAGTTTAGAGATTGCCGAGCTTTTGAGCTCACACTTCCAAGCCCAACTTAGCACTGACACAAGATCCGCGCCGACTCGCTACGACACCGACCAGGTCGTAAATAACGAATACCTCTGTCACGTCTCTATTACAGAGAAAAAGGTGTTCGAGAAGCTATCTAGGCTGCGCCCGGGAAGCCCCCTGGCTGCGATAACCTAAAACCAGTGGTTCTGAAAAACTGATTCGAGGTGCTTACAAAACCACTCTGTAACCTCTTTGAACACTCAACACAGCCGTGCAAACTCCCTAGAGAATGGAAGAGCACCATCTTGTCACCCATCTTCAAGGGAGGAGACAGAAAAAGCCCTGGCAGCTACAGGCCAATTGCCCTACTCCCTATTATGTCGAAAGTGTTGGAAAGCCTGGTAGCTGACACTGTCTGGGAATCCCTTAAAAGGAAAAATACTGTGCGTACTGATCAGCATGGTTTTCGGAGTGGTCGCTCATATGCCACCAACTTACCAACCGCCTGGGACGACTGGACACAAAGCTGGGATAATAGAAAACCGGTACATGTTGTATTTCTCGACCTAGCCAAAGCGTTTGACAGTGTCCCACCCACAGTCCTGCTTCACAGGATCAAGTCAGCTGGTATAAGTGAACCCCTACTCCCCTGGTTCAAGGAGTACCTGGAGGGGAGGCAGTTATGAACTAAGGTAAACAGAATAAGGTCGGAGTGGAGACCCTCGACGTCAGGAGTATCCCAAGGAGCAATCCTAGGACCGCTTCTGCTCCTCCTGTTTGTCAACTATCTGCCAGATAAAATATCCTCACCCATCCTCCTCTTCGCTGACGACATACAAATTTGGAGGGTGGTAAACGAAGAGGCTGATTGTACAGCACTACAAAAGGACTTGCAGCAACTCGAGCTCTGGCCGTCAAAAAATGGTCTGAGCTTCAACCTGGAAAAGTGCAAAGTAATACACATCAGTAAAAATGAAGCAAGCACGACCGACTTCCAGTACATGTTGAGCAACCGTGCTATCATCAGAGTGTCCATGGAGAAAGATTTGGGGCTCAACTTTTCCGACACCTTGGATACCAGCCCCCAACTCCCTCCTAACTACCACGCACTATCTCTCTCCTTAATACACCCACACTACCTACTAATTCTTCTGTAGGAACCAAACCCACGCCACCATTCGGAAAACTATCACATACTTTTCACTCACTCTTACTTCCCTTTTTCACCTCTCCTTTTCCTCTTCCCTTATTTTCTTTTTCTCTCTCCTTTTCCTTCTTCGTTCTTTTACCACTACCTTACTATTCTCATTCAGGTACCTACACAGACAGGAGTTAAGACAATTCCCTAAACTTTCTAGTAACCCGTAGCTCCCCAAAAACTCTACAAACTACAACTTACTAACCCACAAAACATCCATCCCACCGAGGCTAAAAGCAAGAAAACAGAAAGGATTTCCTCTTCTACTGCAGCATTGAACCGAACAACTCTAACAAAACCCTAAGAACTAGACGCAGGAGATCAAAAACCATCAGTTTTCTACTCTTGCACTATCAATTTTGGATATTGGATTTGCGTTGAATGTTCGTGAAAAGGAGGGCAGCATGGAGTTTACGTTACACCAGTTTTGGTGTGACTCGAATAATATGGTTAGGGTAGCATTTTATTTACATGATTTATCTTCTGGTTTGCGATTTGTTCGAAATTTTGATAAAATTATGTAACTGATTCGAAGGTTAGGTCATCCGCGATTGCAGAGTGAAAGTCATCGTTAATTAACGATATTGTTGTGTTTAACCCATCAAATGCTACCCTAGTTAACTTCATCATCTTGATGTTATTGGTGTTTTTTAGAACTGGTCCTATAAATGTATTCGTTGTATGTTACAGTAGTTTAGTTTTTCTTTCCAGTTTTCAAGTGGAAGTGCACTTCTACTACATGTAGCAGTATTCAAAGGCGATGAATTGAGTTAACAAAACACCTGACTGAATGCATACATTGCACTAATGTGTCCAACCGCGAGATTATCAGTTGTCTGTGGTTCAAAGAACATACAAAGCAATCCAGGTGTGAAACCTCATATTACTCCCGACTATATCTACTTATAGTATCGTGTATTTTGGAAGGATACAAATGGTCTTTGCTTAAAAAATTTCCTAACGTGTGCCGAAAGGCTTGCATTTAGGTGCAAGGCTCCCTAGCGGTGCCACTGGTAATCACATCTTCAAGTCGAACAAAGCTTTCAAGGTAATCAACGGACAAAGTAATAATAGATTGCTACGGTATGCAGAAGCAGCGGCAATCCATCGACTGAAACCAAACTTATGTGTACAAAGGAGTTTGTGGTCGACCTTGCATCACCTTGGTTAATTGTTCTTTTCCTACAACTTTACTTACTAACTCATCCTTTCACATTGTTATCTTAGATATTATTCTCAAAAATTCATGTCCCCATCATTTTCATTTTACTTTAACTCACCTTTGTTGTTATCTTACTATCAGATTTCTTACCACTTCAGACTGCTACCATACTCCTGCACCACTAATACATAATATTATTTTCTTTGTGGTTACCGATCGATTTTGTAGTCGTGTGGTATTTTTGTTCTCCGGACTGATTGATTAAGTTGTAGGGGTGCGTGTTACAATTCCGTAAAGTTTGATCAACCCTACTTAACTTGATGTGCTCTAGTACCTGCTTAACCAGTACTTTACCTAACGTGTAAGTACTGATAACAAAATACAAATCAAAAGAACTGATACGCAATGTATTTGAAGGAGCTATGTATTTAATTAAAGTAAATGTATTAATAATGAATGGGGAGAAAGTATAATCAACTTATTTGGCTTGTTAAGCTGAACTAGGGACTCGGAGTACGTGCGTGGTAATCAACACAATGGAGCGCAAAATGGCGTCCAAGCCTGCTCGGATGCATGCTCGTTAAAACAAAACTTAAAACACCCTAAACATCCGGGGGCAAGCTAGAGATTTATTTAGTCAATTCAATTTAAACTATTTATTTTAGCCTTAGTTATACTTTGGTGCCAGGAAGGTGCACTACAAAGTCATGAACTCCGTTACCCTCTATATATTAATGTCTAGATGTGAAAGGTGTATTTGCTTTTGATTTAACTGCTGAAATGCAGCAACTGACTCATAATGGACACTGGTAGTTTACTGTACGCAATTGTAAATTTAGTGCATATGTGGAAGATTTAGAGCATGTAAAATGAATTCGATTCATCCCATAATGCTCGTTGTTCTTGCTTTGCAAAAAATTATAGGAGTCTACTAGCCCATGTTAACCGTTGCAGTGACAGTTCACTTCCATCCAGTAGGTCATAGGTTCGAAATCCTCCCCACCCTGCGAGTTCTAAGAAACTAGGTAGTCATTAGGACTCAGTATGTGTAGCTCCTTGTTTGATGCATGAATGACTACAAAGTTTCTGAGTTTCTTTCCCGTTGATCAGTAGGGGAAAACTTGTGCTTCAATCAAATATCCTTCAATCTTGGATTTTAGTTCTTTTCCAATGGCGTGTAAGGTGATCAGTCGTAGAGGGAGTAGAGAAATTAAATAAACTAGTATCTAAGTCATCCTTCCGGATGTGGAAGGTTAAAATCAGGTCACGTCTTTTCCCACGATAGGGAAACGAAAAAAGACTTCACCTTGCTAATCACTGTTTATAGGGAAGGTGGACAAGAAGTATGACGAGCTTAGTAGTGACCCTTTGAACGCGTTCTAGTGTACTATCTTCCTTTTTTCAAGTATCGATTAGCCGCTTAGATACAAGTCTCTAAATGAAGCCTTATGTAGTTTGAGTATAGGATCCTAAACATTTCATCCAAGCATTTGAATGTCATCCGAAGTGAACGAAGCATGCAAAAACGTTTGGCTGCAGGAACATTGCAATAAGCAATTGTCTTCAAGTCATGACTTACAACGATCCCTAAGTTTTTGTTCCGAAACCTGAGGTATTAGTTGACCATTCATTGAGTATCAACCAATAAAGTCACTTCCAATGAACATCATACTTTCGCTGAAATTAATCTCCAGGCTGCATTGTTTAGACCATTTAGCCAATTCATCAATGTCAGCTTGGAGTGCAAACCTGTCATCATGTTGAATAGTCCTCCATGTCTTGACGATATCAGCAAATAGCAATGATGAAGCCAGCATCTTCGATATTTAATTTGCGTTGAAAAGGAAAAGCACTGGTCTAAGGATATTGCCCTAAGAAACACTAATGCTGATAGGCTGCGCTCAGACATTATTCCATTCACTCTTACTCAATACCTCTCTTGTTAGCAATGCTTGATCCAGGCTTAAGCCACATTGCCAATACCAAATTTACAAACTTTCTTCAGCAATTCTATGGACATTTTGTACAAAAATGGTGAAATCAGTAAACACCATATCCATTACAAAGTTGCTGTTCCTAGCCTAAACCCAGTCTCTTTTGTGAGGAATGGGTTTCTACTCTCGTCGTGAACATGACTGACTTGGAGTATGAAGGCGATATCGTCCTGCTAGGTGAAGACGCTGGCGAAATGAAGAGTCTTCTGTACGCGTTGGACAGAAATCTGAGTATGTTTGGCATGCGTTTCACTGGCACCTGTCAAATATGCGACGCTGCCTCAAGACCCATTCTGTCCTGTTATACGACTGACAAAACTATTGGAAGTAGAGGACATAACGCAGTTACAAGTTTTTGATCAAAAGTGTCTTTGTAGCATTGGTTGTGTGTGGTGGAACCACCGTGAGAGCAATATTGAGGTTAGGCGAAGGGTGCTAGGCAAGGAAAGCAAACCAACCGATGAGTTTGTGAAGCTTAAGCAACTGAGTTGGCTTGAACATGTGCTGTGCATGTCGATTCACCGCCAACTTTGACGTGCAATGCTGGGGGAAGTTGGATTAGGTTGTATGAGGGTTCAGGGTGGCCAGACCAAGACGTGGCACCAGTCGGTGAAGTCTCTTACTTTCAGTCTGAGTTGTGTGGGGTGATGTAGATTGCCTGGTTTGGGTTATTTGGGTCGAAATGTATCAGTGGTTGAGCACTGTTGGTGATACGACTGAAAATCGGTCACAGTGGCGCAGATATATTCACTCCTTGACATCTGAAGCTTGAATATACGCACTAACCTCTATCTTCAGATTGTTTATTCTCTCACACTACTTTATCTTCTTTGACATCACTTTTTCTATACACTTGTTCGAAAATGTCATTGAACAGCCACTGAATGCTTGGGTGTAGTCCTTCTGGGTCCGGTCGTTTCTCAGACGTTAAGTCTTTGAGCAGTCAGTGAACTATCTCCATGATTTCAATAGATCTCACTGGAGAAATATTGGAAGCACTGTCAGTGTTCGGAATTGCATCAGGATTTTCGATAAAATACATTGGACTGAAATAGTTAGCTGGATTATATGCTTAAGCCAGGTCCGGTTCAGCCACATCTTTCGCTTCCTCCTATAATAACAAAACTGGGATCGCCTCACTTTCTGGTTCTTCTCAATCTGAAGGTATAGGCTTTCCGGACATCTCAAACAGTCGTGCTTTAACGACCTTACACATACTTTACGGCGTACAGTGATGATAGACACGTTTCTTGCTAACCTCACAGTATTCCAGCTTAAATACTTCACTATCTGTCGCTATGAATGCATGTTATAGGCGTTCTCTCCGTTTTAATTACCTTTGAGTTTGTCTATGAACCTACGGTAGTCTCTGAGTTGGTCTTTAACAAGTTGGTCGAGTGAATGGTGATGTTACACAAATATATTCTTAAACCTTTTCCTAGCCTTCTGTACCGAACAGCTTAGGTGAAGAGACCAGTCAGTCAAAATTGCACGATCCCTAATCACTGATATTTCTGTGTGCCAAACACTACGGCGAGTAGGAGTCGTATCATAAATCAAACTTAAAAATGATTAAAATCTGGTTACAACTAGCGAAATGAAGTTACTTTCGGTCTATCTTATCGTAACTATCGTGTGTAGAGACTAGGTTCAAAACTGACGGCTCCTGTGTTGACTAAACTTGTGGGTCACTACACTGAATGAGTGCGCACTCTAGAGCAGTTAACTGCGAACTTTTATCAAAACATCTTCCTCATTCAATTATGATTAGCCCTTACCAGTTAACATGGGATGCATTAAGATCCATGATCTGACATCTGTTACTACTACCTTATTTCCGACCACAGTTTAGCACGAAGTCGTCTGTAGGGTGATTCCGACTGCAGCAAACAACTGTTGTCACAACACTTTGCTTGGACTTGGCTTTGTCTCATACTTGCCCCTGTAGTGCACTTCAGAAGTAGTTAATCGTATCTGCAAGTTCCCATGTATATAAGGTATTTTGCTACCATCCTTATGAGCCGTGACTCCACGCATTCTAATACATGCATAACCTGCGATGAGTGGAGAGATATTTGCATCCGCTTATAATCACGTTTCAGTGATCGCTATCAAATTTGGTCTTAAGTACTCAGCTAAGTCTCTTAGATGAGATATTTTATTCCCGAAACTGTGGGCGTTAATTTGGCAGACCATTCAGACGTTTCTACAGATATCCGAATTGAGATTACTGACCTCAAGAGCAGTGGCTACCGGGACCTCACTACCCCAGACCCTGAAATGTATAGGCCTTTTTCTCCTTTGTCTTGCCGGGTTTTCAGTCCGGTCATTGCCTTCCTTCTCTTCATCATATCCTAAAGCGGTCAGTCAGGACTTATGGGTATATTCTTATTTCGAATCTTATGAGAGTTTCAGAGGTTAGCATCACTTTTCTCACAACTCCCCAACACAACTTTTACAATATGTCGAACATAGTCAGCCTTGTCCTCATCACATTTACTTAAGCTGATAACCTTTACATGCACTTCTAATAATAATTCCCAAAAAAGGTGGAGAACCTTTTTAACTAGTTTCAGGTCATGAGCATGTCTTTTGTATGCACCAGAGTCTGCCACTTCTGTATTCCTAACGATCACACTACATTCTGTACTTTTAATTTTAGGTACAATACCTACACTGCTTGATACTTTTTGTTCTCTTCACTCATACTTCCGGTCAACAGTTGGTTGTTATTTGGCTTCCTGATCTTCTTTGATTTTTAGTCCGCTTTGATTGGGATGCTGTTGGGTCTCTAGAGGTAACATCTTGGTCTGATTTGCCTGGTGCGATAAGTGTACTAGGCCCTTTTCTTGATGTAACCAGGTTTTCGGTAGGTTTATCAGATTTCCAACCCTTTCTAGGCCTGCCTCGGGTCGTCAACAAAATGTTTTGCAGACCAGTACCAACCTTCACAACCTCGATTTCCTCTTCTAGCATGACATCCTCAGTGACTGTGTCGACCAGCTATTTTGTTACCTATGACACTACTTATGTCAATGTCGGACTAAACTCATCGTAATGTTATTGTTAGCATTATTACGAAAGGCGTACAGAACAAGTGTATAGTCCTAATTGAATGTCTCCACTTGAACCCGCGCAGTCGTGTATGGAGAGTTATCGTCTGAAGTTACCACAACCAGTGGTAACCACCAACAGTCTACTGTTAATGACGTGATAACACATGTAACCTTAGGTACTTCTAACTTTTCAGGGGTTTTGCTACTTCGAGGAGAACCCCTGGTTGAATTAAAGTATGCAGACGATATGGTCAGATGAAAACGCTTACAAAATAAAGGGTCAATCGTTCCGTGATTGTCAAGTGTGGCATGTTACTTCAGGATTGGTTTACACGAACTCCCAGTTTAAGTATATAGAGTTAGAAAATAAAATGCGTTGACCGCTTCACTTACTTGGAAAGTTACATCAGTCTGAATGGTTTGGAAGTTAACAAAACCTCAGTTCAAATGGAAAAAGCCCTTTTGACGTTCCCCAGCTAACATCGGTTATGTTACCGGCAAGATATCTGACTACATATCAAACGACGGTCATACCACGCATTAAACCACTCTGTCTTTTTGCACGGTTGTGATATACCTGTTGGTTGTGGAAGACGTGAGGATGCTACAAGCGTTTTGATCATAGATATCTTTTTTATTATTGTTTGGACGAGACTGGAGCCATAGAGTGAGCATTGTTAAGACTAGATATAGACTACTGGGCAAGAAAATGGGGTCAGTCGATGAATGGGAAGTTTTTGCCGGTTGAGGTGACTTAGTTGTGTGTCGTGCATCTTGAGCTACCATTTAACTCGATTTGAAGTGTTTTCCTACGTTGAATAGAAAGGAAATAGTGACCAAACCAAGTAATAGTACAAGTTCATAAAGTCTTTAACTGTTTGCTTGAGCTGCATAGATTTCTTGATTCCTCAATATTTTAGGAATCAGTAGTTGAAGAGTTGATAAGCGCATACACATTCTTTTATTTTTGTAATTATGAACATTTAGTTAACGTCCATTTATATATCTTTTATCGTTTCATTCACCTGTCTGCTGTAATATAATTTCTTTTCTACCCAGTTTTTGCATTCTGTTGTAATATTTGACAACTTGGAATAATGCATTACTGTCCAGCGTCTTACTATGATTTCTCTTTCGGTCTTCAGCTCTAAAGTTCGTAACAAAAATGCCATTTTTGACACATGATTTGAAATTTTTTGAAGCGAAGACTTTCACATCAATTCTAATCCCTAAGGATAAGTAGTGTTATCCCAACCAGTAGTCACAGTGGTCTTGCTTCGGGTTTTTACAAGAATAAACTAATTTGTATCTGCTGATGGACACGTGATCAGACGTTTAATTTTAAATAGTCCTAATTATCTTTATCAATTCCGATTTGCTGTCTTTCTTGCTTTTATCGTGAATTTATAGGGTGAAGGCTAGTGTCATTACTTGCAAATACCAAGGGAGCACATGAAGGAGGCACATCAATGTGTGTTTTTGGTTTATATATGGTTTTCATTCTATGTGTCAGCGTGGCGTTTATCTCATTTCAAAATTAAAATTGATTGTATGTAAAGTGCTACTGACAAACAATGATAGTGGTATCAACCCGCGACCAAATGCTTCCATTCACTACAATGACTTATTAGAAATCTTAAATTTGAATGTGAGTTTTAATGGAGTTACTTACCATATTTAGAATACTAAAGTACCAATCTTTTATGGGTCACAGACAGGCACTGCCAGGAAATTCGCTGTTGATCTCGGCCATCATCTTCATCTCTGTGGTATACGAAACCTGGTGATAGACCTCAAACAGCTGAGTATGGTAAGATTCAAACATATATTCTTTTCCGTTTTCATTCGGGATATCATTTTTGAACTAATAGTAGCTTCACACATTTAAGAAAAATGACTGTCAAAAACAGTATATGTAGGATTTCAAATTAATAGAACAACAGGCTTTAGTCAAGAAAAACACTTCTAAAGTTGTCTAAACATTCTAATTAGTAGAGGTTTCGTGGTGTTCGGGATTCTCTGTGTATGTAGCTGATCAAAAAGTATGCAGTTAGTACTGTTAGTTTCAGTAAGATGTATTTCATAATTGAATCTACTGAGTCTTCTTAAATGTCTTTTAGTCGGTTTAATTCCAATGTTTCATTTGCTGCTCTTTTTGTCATCTATGGAAAGTGAACGGTTGTTACTTGACCGATAGCTGCTACCTTGACGTGGTGGTCGGGCTCGGATATCGCAATGACCCAATGAGCTATGATGGTGGAACGCTTGTTCCTTCTTTGTAATACCATCCTAGAAAGATCTGGGGGATAGCGGTAAGACGAAAAGTGGTTACCGTTGTTGTGCAAATTGCTACACTATGATGGGGTTCTGAGATCGAAGTCTTACTGCTGCTAGCTAGACGAGGTATGACAGCAGTAAAGTGTTTTCCTTGGCCGACCAGCAGGTCCACACTGATGCTATCTTTCCAACAGGAATTAGGAGGGTGGGGGTTAGAAAAGGTCAGCCCTAAAAAATGACATACCCCACCCCTTCGCGGCATACTGATGCTTGCATCAGGGATTCATAGTCGGATTCAAAAGCAAAAAACCAAAATCTCGAAATCGCTGAAAGGTTGTGTGTGGTTGACCTCAAGTGGCTGTCCCATGGGCTATACCGTCACACGCTCTTCCTTTTCAGATACCTCAAAAAGAACTAGCCTTCTACGTTGTGGGAAACCGGGAAGTGTCATCCCCCCCACACATGCTTCCAATGGTACACAAGACCCAACCAAAGATAACCTATCATCCTCAACTCTGTCTCCTTGTTTATCTTCACCTTCTGATGCTAATATTAAGCTTCTTACGCCTTACCGAACCTCTTACTCTGCAGCCATTGCCAACTATTTAAAGCATAGAAACCTCATTCCTAGTCTCTTGAGATCCAGCCATCGATTTCATGTAGAGGCTCTCAGCGTGCGAACTCTGCAAAATTGGATAGCAAGCATCGCTCACCAGAACTCTGGAATCTCTATTCATGGATGTTTGCTGTTTCTCTGAGACACGTATTCAGGTCCCGAGTGTAGTTATTAAAATGACCTCACCTGACCATGGTAGTGAATCTTGAAAATTCATCTTATTAGCATCAGGAGATTTAGTGGCTGGCTCTGGTGGACTCGCTGGTGTAGGTATAGCATTGAGTTGTAGGGTAGAAAGTGTGCTTCTCGACTGGATTCCGGTAAACAGCCGTCTGTGTGCTGAATGACTAGGCGACACCTATACGTAATCCCTGTCTACGCACCCACCAACTGCAGTTCAGGTGATGTAAAGGATGAATTCTGTGAGAAGCTACCAACTTTGCTACACTAAGCAAAACGTTCAGATGTAGTCATAATATCAGTTGACTTTAACGCTAAATTAGGGAAGGTGAGCCTATTGGAAAGGTATCTCGGGGGTGCTTATGGAATTCCATGCCAACAAACCGACAATTTTGTTCCGACAATCACTTGTTTATGGTCAGCACTAACTTTAGACATAAGGAGAGACATCATCTCACATGGCGTCGGCTGACATCAAACCAATGATGGACATAGATGGATCACTTTGCTATAAGCCATCATTGGAGAGGATCGGTGGACGATTGGCGCTCATTTCGAAGTACCAGTTTTGACTGCGATCATGCGCGAGTATGGGGTCGTGTGTGTGTGCACCTTACTGTCCTCTAGAAACAGGAGTCAGTGAGACCCATCTGTGCTCGATTGGTAAATAAAGACGCCAAGTATGCATTTATAGAGGTGTTAGCTGGGCATTTATCTGGACGTGACAGCAATGCTCATCCTGAGGGGATTTAGCGTGATACTTAGTCTGCTATAGAAACAGCTGTAAAGACAATTGGTAACCTACACCCGAAGGTTATCAAGTATTATTGGATTTCGGCAACGTCACTCGAACTGATTAATGCGAGAAGACTGATTTCAGCTGTCTCTGACCACACTGAGGAGCGAAAGCAACTTAAACGCAAATTGATCAGGTCTTCGTGTCGATCTCGAGTAGTGGTGAAAGCGAGAGAAATGAAGAAGACATCAGCATTACGCAATACCTGGCAGCTATTAAGACCTATTAAAGTTACTGGCAAGAAAAAGATGATGGCGATTAAGACCATCGCCGAAGATAATGGGACGCTGATAACCTCTCAAGACAGGCGCCCAAATCACTGGACGTAATCCTTTGAAGACCAGTCCAGCTGACCCACAAAAATGCCTTAGTCACCCGGCATCCAGCCCAAACCTGGATTAAAAGTGGATTTCCATTCTCCAACTCCCGTTGAAGTTAAAAAGACTTTCAAGCCTGAAACAATGGGAAGCTGCAGGGTGTGTCAGTTTGCCACCTGACGTTTTCAGGAATTGAGTTAGGAAATCGCTTTTTAAAGTAACGTATGACTGGGTAATTTACGGGAATCAGTGGTAGTGCCGTTAGACTGTTCTACTTCACTAGCCACTGCAGTTTATAAGTAGGGAGAGAAATCTTGTGACAACCGTAGGGGAATCACTTTTACAAGTATTGCGTTCAAGATCCTAGGCTCCCTAGCCATGCGACGCTTAGAGTTTGAGAACAGCAAATTTGAGAAAACCAGGCAGGTTTCAGACCCTCGGTTAAGGGCTCATCGATCACATTTTTACCCCTACCCCTCGACTGGTTTTGGAACACAGACATACTTACCGGCTAAAGGCCAACACTTGCTATATTTCATGACCTGTAGGCGACATTTGACTCGGTCTACTGCGAGGTCTTGTAGCAGTGTATAACTGTTAAAGGAGTATCAAGCAAGTATGTGTCATGAGAGTTGTCATGTGAAGTGGCGACAACTAGTGGTGTCTGCCAGATATATCCACTGTCACCGTCCCTACTTAATTTTGTCTCGGATTTAATAATTGACATTACCTTAGGTGCGTCTGACTTCACAGGGATTGATCTACTCTCTGGAGGTCATCTAGTTGACTTGGAGTATGAAGGCGATATCGTCCTGCTAGGTGAAGACGCTGGCGAAATGAAGAGTCTTCTGTACGCGTTGGATAGAAATCTGAGTATGTTTGGCATGCGTTTCACTGGCACCTGTCAAATATGCGACGCTGCCTCAAGACCCATTCTGTCCTGTTATACGACTGACAAAACTATTGGAAGTAGAGGACATAACGCAGTTACAAGTTTTTGATCAAAAGTGTCTTTGTAGCATTGGTTGTGTGTGGTGGAACCACCGTGAGAGCAATATTGAGGTTAGGCGAAGGGTGCTAGGCAAGGAAAGCAAACCAACCGATGAGTTTGTGAAGCTTAAGCAACTGAGTTGGCTTGAACATGTGCTGTGCATGTCGATTCACCGCCAACTTTGACGTGCAATGCTGGGGAAGTTGGATTAGGTTGTATGAGGGTTCAGGGTGGCCAGACCAAGACGTGGCACCAGTCGGTGAAGTCTCTTACTTTCAGTCTGAGTTGTGTGGGGTGATGTAGATTGCCTGGTTTGGGTTATTTGGGTCGAAATGTATCAGTGGTTGAGCACTGTTGGTGATACGACTGAAAATCGGTCACAGTGGCGCAGATATATTCACTCCTTGACATCTGAAGCTTGAATATACGCACTAACCTCTATCTTCAGATTGTTTATTCTCTCACACTACTTTATCTTCTTTGACATCACTTTTTCTGTTAAGTTGTTCTTTGTGTTATACTGTGAAGTTTGGGTACTGGAACCTATGCATCAATGTGCGATGTTCGACGTTGATTTGGTCAATGTGTCCATCAGAATGGTTAGTAGGAGGAAAACGTTTATGCAGCGAAACAATAATAGTCAAATATATTTGAAACGTTTCATGGTAACGCAAATCGTAGGTAGGATCTGAAGGTATTTTTGCCATATGTATCCTATAATAATAGTCTTAGTCTGAAGATAAACGTACTACCTGCCTTTTACAGGGAAGCAGTTATTTTTACTAAATCGATCCCATAGCTTTCTTTTCCGTCTTGCCTTTGCTTTATCGCTTCTCGCAATTTTTTTCTTTTTTAAGGATTAAATTTTGTCTCATCTGAACAAACACGCTTAGTGGTAGGGAAAAATATGTATCGATTAATGTCGATTTTTCCTGACCGACAGTTGCTACCTTGACGTGGTGGTCCGGCTCGCATATCAAAATGACCCAGTGAGCGATGCTGGTTGATCTTTGGAGGTCTTACCACTTCGGAAAGGTCAGTTGAATAGTGGCAAGAAAAAAAGCACTTAACGTTGTTGTGTAAATTACTACGTTACCGTGGGGATTCAAGGGTTAAGTCTTACAGCTGACTGGACAGGGTGATAACAGTGAGGTATTTGACGCGTTTGACCAGCGGTGCCACGCTAAATCCATCTTTCCTTGGGGAAGTGGAGGCTAGAAAAGGTCAGCTCTAAATATTGCATATCCCCTACTACTTCATGGCATACCAGTACTGGCAATAGGAGTTCGTGGTTGGAGTTGGACAAAACAAACTTGGCTACCATACTTCTAAATAAGCTGTATGTGACAGGCCTTAAGGAGATGTCTTTTGAGCTCTGCGGCCACACACTAACCCTTTTTCAGGTAACTGAAGAAGAACTTGCTTCCTGCGATATGCGCAGTTTAGGATTATCAGCTACCCTTACAACTCCGTCAGCATTCAGTTTCCTTCTAGAAGTTAAGTTTGCCCTAGTGGTTTAGTGACCACTGAGATTTCGGCTCGGATACTAAAGGCTTTGTTGGCTTTTACCATTTGCGGTACCGCCGGGATATCTGATTGTCTATCAAAGATGGAGCGTACTGCGTTGCACTTCGTCCTCTCATACTATGTAGTTGTGAAACGTGATCACTAAGGGTAAAGGACATTAGAATGTTTCAGGTGTTCTTCCACTCTTGCCTTGGTAGCAAAGGCCATGTGTCATGGTGTTACCACTTGAATGATGTAGAAGTCAGGCATCGATTTTTCAGTAGAAGAGGGAAAGGCAGTTGGTAAGGTTACTAAGCTTCGTTGACTGAGGTATGAGAGACATATGTTGCATGCCTAGTCACCGTGTGCCTCGTCGCACAATGTCAGCTAGATGAAGTAGGTTCTCACTGGGAAAATGTTTAAGGTGGCCAGACTAAAACATGGCATCAATCTATGAAGTCTCTTACGGTTAGTGTGAGGTGCGTGGAGAAATGCAGACCTAGTTTTGGTTGGCGTGACAAGAAACACCAGCGGTTGGAGAGTAGGTGATATGGCTGATAATCGGTGTTTGTGGAACAGACGTATCCACACTATCTTTATCTTAATCATGAGGCTGCATTTTAGTATTCTCTCATTCTTCCTTGCCCTCTTTTGATGACTTCCACCCACTTGTGACTTCTTTCTTTTCTATTTATCGCTGTTTCATTTTAGTGCGTTGTGGCGTGATGTGTTGTTAAGGTACGGCAACTTGGGTCGTTATGCGGTAATGCCCTGGGCCTATTCGGATATTGATGATGATGACGATTAACCTGACTATTTTACTTCTGATTATTGATGTAGTCTTCTTCATTACTGATTAATCTTAGTGGCACGCTAAACAAGCAATGACTGCTAATGGGAAAATTCAAGTTCTGATAAGTTTAGATGAAATGTTAAGTGTGAACTGGGCACCAGTAATACATTATGATTTCTAGAATTTTCAGCTCATTCTGGCGACCATAGACGAGAACCTTAGTACCAGTCTGTGAGTTGTATGTGGTGTCAGTTAATTAATGGCTTCCAAATTATTCTCAGTCAAAGTAGACTTGTCAGTGTGAATTGTGTAGTTGACATCTATTAACAAAAACAGGTGCATTCTTATACAACCAACTAACATATATTAAAAAGGGATACCGAAATACTGTAAAATACTGAAGGCTAATACTATGTCCCTGATCTTTGGAGTAAATACGTGTAGGTTCTTTTATCTGAGAAGCAACTAGTTTTTGACTTGTTAAGGTTTTTACTATTGAAATGCAACATCACTATAATATTTATGTTCAATAATGGCAATGAATACTAACAATATTCTACGTGCGTATCTCAATCTATTTAAGTTGCATCAAGTGGTGGATGTACATGAATGTGTATTGGTGCTCACTTTGAAACTGAAGCATAGAATTTATCATAGCTATCTCTTATCCATTGCTCACAAGTTTTTATCAAATTCTGAAATTCTATGTTGTTATTACTACTAAGCGATTTATCCAATCTTTTAGATGTTACTTTAAACGCAGATTCTTAATTGTGCATAGAAAACAAATTGGTTCCCGTTCAAATTTGCAATTTTTTGACAATACCTCAACATTAGCACATATTTAAACCCCGATTCTCATGTGTCTAAACTAACACAAAAAACTACATAATCTATCAACTGAAATTATAGTTCTAAAGTGAACGGTACTAAGCATATAAAGAAAATTTGGAACAGGATATTTTAAATTCAGACACCTAGTTTTGGGGTTGGCTACGTTAAAAAAGTTGTTTTGGGCTACAGTAGAACTGATAAAAAGTTCATTAACTTGTGTTGGATGACTACATTCGGTATCGAAAGTGTACCATTTCATGAATTTGTTGTTACTTATATTTAGCTGTATTAATTAATCCTTCTAACCTCGCCTGGTTAACTAGTTCACTAGTTACTAGCCGGTCCTAAGCCCGGGTAAAGAGGGAAGGTTGGGCAGTCACCATCAACGGGGGAAACTTAAAGGAAGTAACCTTCTTCACCTATCTAGGAAGCACTGTTTCAACTACAGGTGGCACAGACGAGGATGTCAAAGTCAGAATCGGAAAAGCAAGACAGGCGTTCATTAGCCTGAAACCAGTGTGGAGATCTTCTGCACTCAGCATGTGGAACAAGATCCGGATTTTCAACACCAACGTCAAGTCAGTGCTTCTGTATGGTTCAGAGACTTGGCGCGTTACGAAAAGGATTTCCAACAAACTACAGACATTCATCAACAACTGCTTACGCTGACTCGTTACTGAAGCTCAGATGGCCAGGAAGAATAAGCAACAAGGAACTCTGGCAGGCTGGCAACGAACCAACCAAGAACCTATCGCTCAACAAATATGTAGAAGGAAGTGGAGATGGATTGGGCATACACTGAGAAGGCCGACTGGGGACATCACGCATCAGGCCCTCGAGTGGAATCCCCATGGGAAGCGACGAGTTGGACGTCCGAGGGTGACATGGAGGAGATCGTGCGAGGAGGAAATGAGAGGTTGTGGGCTGTCGTGGAGGCAGGTTCAAAAGATCTCAGAGAACAGAGTTCACTGGAGACGTGCTACTGAAGCCCTATGTTCCATTAGGAACCCAAGGGACTAATAATAATACAATATTAATTAATCCTTCTACTCAATTAAGTGCTATTCATAAGAATATGCATTTATTTTTGTGTAACCAGTACTGATTTTTAGGTTTTCTAATTAATTTTATAATAGTGATGGATAGTAACTAGCAGTGGAATCCAAAACGCCCTTTTCGTCCTGTTTGAGACTCGTCAACTGGATGGACCTGCCTTCCAGTGATTAGTGTTTTTCCCACTAAGACTCGAACCGGGTACCGATCACTTCAAGCGCCAAAGAAAAACGAAATTGAAACAGGCAATATCTAGGCATTCATGTAGAAACCCATATACCAATGTTGACCAATCAATTCGGTCCAATCAACAACGCGATAATACAAATATCAACATTTTAATTGACTGTCTATTTAAGTGTGATTTAAGTAAATACCTAAACATTGTGTTCTTATCAATTTACATGGCTTTCAGTATATCTCTGCAAATGTCATATCTGATTATTACTGTCATGCAGAAGAGTTCATACTTGTTTATTTATCCCTATTGAATACCTGTTACTAAATATGCCCTTGAGATAAAGACTTATATAAATTGTATTTATTATCCTTAGACGGATAACTTGTATAGTCTACTCGAAAGTTATTTTATCACTGGATTGAAAATTTTAACTCTATCTTGTACCTCTAATTCATCATAGATTCACTTTAACTTCATCAAGAAAAAATTGCTTCAGTCTACTAAGGAGGTGTTTTCATCCGTAGCTTTTCATGGTCTGCATACTTATCATATTCTTGTATTTTATTTCAGGATGTATTAGTAAATTTATCTTTTCTGGACAAATGTGTAGTAGTTTTTGTTCTTGCAACTTATGGTGAAGGTGAACCAACAGATAATAGCCGAAAGTTTATGGAGATTTTGGAAAATTCACATGAGAGGTTGAATAACTTGCATTTCTCGGTAACCATTTTACAATCTGATAATCCTTTATATGATAGTTTGTCTGTATCTGTTTCTACAGGTTAACTCGAAATTATTCTTTTAATACCCAGATGTAAAGTACTAAGAAATAAGTATGAAAAAAATACTAACCAATCGTAGTCATCTTATAGCTTAAAAATCCGATCAGTCTAATACTTTCTTAGATGTTTAATGATGTTGTATATCTACAACAGAGTGAAAACCTTGTATATGCTCACTGTAAATATCTAAAATTTCATGTTCTTTATTTGAAGTTGAATACTTATCAATGATAGATTACCTAAACGCCATATTTGTTATTACATGCAGACAAATAAGACCAGTGCAGTGAAGAAAGAAACAGCAACCACATGGAACTGTGCGTACTCTACTGAGTTGCATCTATTTTTGTAGTGGTTAATTTTAATGCTTTAGTGTCCAAAAGCACATAGATGAGACCAAATCGTTTATAGAACTGACTTCGGTCCTAGTGGTGACATCTTTATAACCAGTCAATTTAAAGACTATCATTCAGTACTTGGCTTTATGTTTGAATGGTTATGAGGCTGCTAAAGTATTACCAAAACTTGATTGACTAACTTCGTTCAGTGATGAGGATTAAGGACTAAATAGCTACGTCGGTTATTCTTCAGTCAGGGTCAGTCATGACCTGAAGGGCTGAGTGTTTGTTTTTGACACCAACATGTAGTGATACAGGTTTGAATTACTGAGGGAAGATAAGTTCCGCCATGGTTGCAGATATGCTTTACTAGTGAGTGCCAGCAAGTACAAGACCTTTATTCAAGGCATCTTGCTACTGACTCCTAAACCGTTTGTAATTACTCTTAACCGTTGGTGATCTTCCCTCGACTGGCTGTTAATAAGGTTGCTTCTTACTAATTACTGTTCTATGACCTTTACTGATAAACAGAAATTCCTGCAGATGGAAATTGATAGATCATTTTTTATTTGTAGGAATTAATGTTATCGCGGAGAAAAGATGTAACAGCGAATAAAATTTTCTTCCCGACGATTCCATTTACAATTTGTATTTTTAAGTTTTTGAAATGAATAAAAGTCTATTAGGGTGTTATGATTATTGTAATGTTCAACAGTAGAATAAAATTTTGTTTTTAAAGACAGGTGAGAATCACTACTACGGCTGAGTGCACGAAATATTTCCCGATAGGAAGATCAGGTTTAAGGCTACGAATCACCAGTGACTCGGTTATGCATATATCATGTAGTTGAAGTCGTTTGGAATTGTAAAGAGGCACTGTGTAAATTACTTTGAAGGAACTAATGGTAGAGGTAAGATGTCCTAAGACAATCTTCGAAAAGACGTCTACGGACTTGAAGAGTTGTGGATGCTCACTGCCAAAAAGTCCTATGCTGCGATAAAACAGCTGTCCAATGATCTCAAATTTTCAGTGGTTCCTAAAATTATCTCAGTTCATGATTTTTACGAAATTGAAATCAATCAGTCCACACAAACCTTCAAACTTTTAAAGACAGTTGTACAGCTTTCTTAAGTAAAATTATCGAAAAGGAATTTTATTTGCTGTTATTCTGTGACTGAATATAGGAATTACTATTGCATTGTACTTAATGAAATGTATTATTATTCTTAGCAGGTTTCTCATGAGTTTTTCATTAAAACTGAATTTATTGCAATGACTTCAAGTAACTACTGAATTTTATTTGGTTACAGGTTTTTGCACTTGGTAACAGTATGTATACATATTTTAATGCTTTTGGAATATCAGTCGATCGTTTATTAGTTAAACATGGAGCTAAACGATTTCAAGCAATTTCTTTAGGCGATGAACTAAATGAGTTAGAAAGTGCTTTTGTAGCTTGGAGAGATCAACTGACCTCATCAATGATTAACTTTTTTGATATGGATAATGGCCAAGACTGTTTGAACAAGCAATATGAGCGAATATACTTTTTAAAGCGTACAACTTGGAATCTACCGCTTATTCCCTATTATATTAAATTATTCATAAGCAGGACTTATGTACAGCAAACGTTGTGAGTATTAGTTTTCCACTTTTAATGATTCATATCTCTATGGTTTGAAAGTTAACACCCAATTTAGTGAGTTTTCTTTTGACTGCTTTTTCAGTTTAGTTTTCACTAGTTTTCCTCCAAATTATATCATTAGAATGCAGCTAAATGACATTATAAACTTCTGCAAATTCTACTCCATTCTTTTCAGAAGTAGATACAAATATTGTCTATATTTCTCGGGATCGCTGCATGGGGGGACACTGTAAATTTTTCATAAATCTAAACCTTTCAACTTATGAATCATTTCTTGTTGTCATAATTTCCTATCATGATTCGTCAATAAAAATCATTAGTCAACATCTTTACATTATAAGGTGTATTCTTTATGAATAAGTGGAAACAGGTACTCAGCCTTTGATCTGCAAGTTATGATTATGTCAGATGTATATTATATGTAGTCTTGTCAACTAAACATTCCTTGGTTTTACTTTCTCTTTTGACCGTTTTCAAAGTAATCAGTGGCTCTATGATATAAATAAGTGGTTTAACATTTAGAACATTTACTTAGTTCTATTTACATAACGAGGGGGGTGCTTCTAAAAGGTAACAGTTTCGGTTGAGTCTAGCCATACAATAAAGTTATAGCTGTCACGTGAAGGAATCGCAGAAGGGAAAAAGAGTAGTAAAGCCTAGTCAGATTTACGCCGGTGCGTTTTAAGCAAGCACACTTATTCACTAAGACTGACACATCTATATGTCGTTACTCTTTGAAAGTTTTTACTGTGTTCGGTTTTGTATAACATATATTGTTTAACCTTCTTCGTGATTAGATATATGTTGATTATATCATAACTTACAGTCATCTCTGTGTATCGGCCACTCGTTGAAGACACTGCATTTTCTAAACAATCATTTTCCTATCGAAACTAATTGTTTAATTTTGGCTTTGTCAGCCCAAGGATTCTAACGTGTATTGGTAAAACTTCAGAAACGACATTAGGACATCAGGAATTTTATTTCACACTGATATTTGTTAGTTTTCAAAGTTAAATACTATTAGATTCCAGGTGAATGTGTTATGGACCCACTTATCAAGGAGACTAGGGCGAAAAGGTCGATGATTAGTGAGACTAACGGAGAAGATTGGGTCCGTGATTCACTTGCTGAATAGACTACTGGGACGATGAGAGGAACACTTCGAATAATAGTTAAACTGGCCTCCAACTAGTCTTCGCTTGGCAGCTATCTAGTCGGATCCTGAATAAAACACTAAGACAGGATGTTCAAAACTTACAGAAGTCGAGAAAGCTGTAAGTAATCTGAATAGAAGAAAGCCGGTAGGTTAAAACAAAGTAGTTTCAGAGGTACTTAAGGATTGAAGTGTTAAATAGGTATGTCATCGATCCAGAAAGTCAGGTATTCTTGATCCCATGCATGTTACTGGGCCGAAGATTTCCCAAATAATTTCTGTAAGGCAGATGACATTAATGTTTGGAAATTTTAAGTAATATTGCTCAAAATGGTTAGTAGTAACCTCTTATCTCCACCTAAATCATTCCTCTTTCCATCTGTCTGCTTTTTTTAATAATTATAGTCTTTAATGGTACCATTACTTTCACTTCTTTTTGTATCTTATTGTTTATTTTGCATGACAATGTTGATATAAAGTGCTTCGGTTATGTTATACCTGTATTTATAACTGATGTACCGATTATGTTTGGAATAATTGCTAAACGAAGCCAGTATGAGTATCACGTAAAAAACCGAATCAGTCAAAAGGCAACCATGTGACTTGATATACCTTTTCGTGTTTCGATTTCCCGATATCATTTTCAGTCCCACTGCAGCTTATTTAGTTAATTTTCGAGAACCGTAGCGTTTCTGTTTGTTGTTCAGATGACTATCCACACGTTATATTTGATTATGTAACCAACCAGTAGTATTTGTATGAGTAATCTTCAGTTCTCACTGGTGTTGTACAGGATTTTCGAGAACCTATAGCTGTTATCCGATTTCGAAGACTATATTTATCACGGTAGACTCCGAAACCAAAATTCGAATTGTAACATCTGTTTTTACACATCGTTTCAACCCTATGGTTATTATAAATGTTCCATGAACCACTCAGGATGTGTTACTGTAGTTCATTTGTTTTATTGATAAATGTCAGAAAAGAAGTAAAAATTTTCTGTATGGATGCTTTTTTATATCTAATTTTAGACCTTATGGAACAGAGCACTATGTCCACGTTCCTGTTGTCGTTAACGAAGAGTTATATTGTGGAAGTTCACGTTCTTGTCGACACATAGAACTGGACCTGTCTGGTACTGAACTAAGGTATGCTTGTCTAATCTTAAGTCTCTAATTTTTATATGTGATCTGGAGGTGATTTCTGTCTGACCGATAGCTGCTACCTTGACGTGGTGGTCGGGCTTGCATATCACAATGACCCAACGAGCTATGCTGGTGGAACGCTTGTTCCCTCGAGGTCCTACCATACCAGAAAGGTCTGTTGGATAGTGGTAAAACCAAAAGCAGTTGCCGTTATAGTGTAAATTGCTACACTATGATGGGGGTCTGAGGGCGAAGTCGTACTGCTGCTAGCTGGATGGGGTGTGACAGCAGTAAGGTGTTTCCCTTGGATGACCAGCAGTGCCACGCTGATGCTGCCTTCTCAGTGGAAGGGGGGGTTAGAAAAGGTCGGCCCCAAAAATACAAAAGTTCAAAATAATCATACTCAAAAGGCTGGGTGTGACAGGCCTCAAGCAGATGTCCGATGGGCTCTGCGGTCACACAAATCTCTTTCAGGTACCTTAAGAAGAAATAGCCTTCCACGGTGTGGGCAGCCGGGAAGTGTCAACCGCCCTCACAACTCTGTCAGCACCCAAGTTTCTTCTGACTGCTATCCTCCTCCTCCATCATTACCTTCTAATCTTCCTTCACGTCTCTTAATTAATGATGCTGCATCATCTTCAATTTCTCCTACCTCTGCAGCCTTCGACAACGATCTGAGTCCACAGAACAGCGTCCCTGGTCTCCTTAAACCACGCTCCAAATTACATATTGGAGCCTTCAATGTCCGCACCCTCCGTCAAATTGGCCAACAGGCTTCGTTGGCAAAGACTCTAGCAACTCGGGCATGGATGTGTGCTGTGTTTGTGAGACACGCATACAGGACCCAAGTGTGGTTATTCACCTGACCAATCTGGTGAATCTGCAAAATTCACCCTTCGAGTTTCTGGAGATTCGATAGCTAGCTCTCGTGGTCTTGCAGGTGTAGGTATAGCATTAAGCACCAGGGCAGAAAACTCACTACTAGACTGGATCCCAGTTGATAGTCGCCTCTGCGCTATGAGGCTGAACGGCACAGTGAGAACTAAAAGGAATAGTGAGACTCGCCGTTGTCTCTTTGTAATCTCTGCTTACGCACCCACTGACTGTAGTTCGGATGAAGTGAAGGACGAGTTCTACCATAAACTGTCTAACCTCCTCTCGAAAGCCAAACGTTCGGACGTAGTGGTTGTTGCAGGTGACCTCAACGCACAGGTGGGTAGACTGAGTGAGGCAGAAAGGCACTTAGGTGGCACTTTCGGAATCCCAGCTGAACGTACAGATAACGGTGATCGCCTATTACAACTATGCTCAGATAACCGCCTATTTTTAGCCAGCACAAATTTCAGACATAAAGAAAGGCACTGTCTGACCTGGCGTCCACCGAGCTCGACTCAGCGATGGACACAGATAGACCACATTGCTATTAGTCATCGCTGGAGAGGATCGGTGGAAGACTGCCGCTCCTTCTGGAGTACGTGTTTGGACAGCGATCATGCGTTGGTCCGAGCACGTATATGCCTGCGTCTCAATGGACGTAGAAAAAATTTGGCAACAAAACCACTACGAGTTCTGCTGGACAACGAAAACACCAAAGCCGTGTTCAGTGAGAAGTTGGCTAGGCAGTTATCGGAACAAAAGACTGTCACTCATCCAGAAGAAGCTTGGTGCCATCTTCAGTCTACTGTAAAAGCAGCACTGGAGACTGTAGCCGACTCCAAGATAATGGCTAAAAAGAGCCAGTGGATATCAGCAGCTTCTTCCAAACTAATGGATGCACGTGAATGCATCCCTGCAGGCTCTGAGTACAATGAAGAGCGAGCGCAACTTAAAAATAACTGACGAAAAGTCTGCGCAACGATCGTGAACAGTGGTGGGCAGCAAAGGCTAAAGAGATGGAAAAGGCAGCGGCGATCGGTAACAGTAGACAGTTATTTAGACTTATTAAGGAGACTGGGGGGAAATGGTCAACAACAGTTAGTGAGGTTATAGCGGAGAAGGACGGATCTGCGATTCACTCGCAGGGAAGGCGACTGGGACGATGGGCAGAACACTTTGAGGAACAGTTTAACTGGCCTCCAGCCACCATTGCGCTGCCCGCTATCCAGTCGGACCCTGAATGGGACATAGAGACAGGTCCCCCAACACTAGAAGAAGTTGAGAAAGCGGTAGGTAGCCTGAAACGGGAAGGGCAGCAGGACCAGACGGACTACCTGCTGAGGTATACAAGAATGGTGGTAGAGTTCTCTTAGTCAGGCTAACGGAAGTGTTAGCCAGTATATGGGAATCAAATACGATCCCCTCCGACTGGTCTAAGTCACTCATCATCCCAGTCTTCAAGAAAGGCGAGAAGTCCTCTTGTGATAACCACAGAGGAATCAGCCTGACAAACATAGTGTCTAAGATCCTAAGTTCTATAATTCTCCGACGCCTGAGTGGAGCTCGGGAACAGCAAGCCCGAGAAAACCAGGCAGGCTTTAGACCTGGCCGTGGATGTATCGACCAAATATTCACACTGCGCCAGGTCCTGGAACATAGGCATGCTTACAGACGCCCGACAATAGCTGTATTTCTCGACCTGAAGGCGGCATTTGACTCCGTTGATCGAGAAGTCTTATGGCAGTGTCTGTCACTGAAAGGCGTGCCTAGTAAGTACATCACCTTATTGAAAGCTCTCTACTCGAACACTTGTGGGCATGTTAGAGCCTATGGTGAGTTGTCCAGGGAGCTATACTCATCAAGTGGTGTCCGTCAAGGATGCCCACTATCCCCATTCTTATTTAATTTTATCATAGATATTCTTATGGAGGTTTCCCTCTCGTCACCTAATTACAAGACGTTGACCCGATCACAGGTGAATTTTCCTTAGATCTAGAATATGCAGATGACATAGTCCTGTTAGGTGAAGACGCTGACAAGATGCAGAGTCTTCTGAACACTTTGAGTGGGAATTTGAGAATGTTTGGGATGCGATTTTCACCACCCAAATGCAAATTTTTGCTCCAGGACTGGTCTTCAGCGGTACCGCGGTTAACAATAGAGAGTGAAGTGGTTGAGTGTGTTGACCACTTCACTTACCTGGGAAGTAGGATCAACCCGGTGGGTTAGTTGCCGATGAGATTTCTGCACGGATACAAAAGGCTCGATTGGCTTTTGCCAATTTGCGCCACCTATGGCGCCGCCGTGATATTCGTTTGTCTATTAAGGGTCGCGTGTACTGCACAGCAGTCCGCTCTGTTCTACTGTATGGCTGTGAAACATGGCCATTGAAAGTGGAAGAACAAAAAGGGTTCAGGTGTTTGACCACCGTTGCCTTCGTAGTATAGGACGTATTCCGTGGTGTCACCATGTGAGTAATGCAGAAGTTAGGTGTAGAGTTTTAGGGAGAAGAGGTAAGTCAGTCGACGAGGTTGTGAACCTTCATCGACTGAGATGGTTGGGACACGTACTACGTATGCCTAGTCACCGATTGCCTCGTCACACAATGTTGGCTGAGGTGGGTTCAGGCTGGAAAAAGGCCCGAGGTGGCCAGACTAAAACATGGCACCAATGTATGAAGTCTCTGACTGTTGGTTTAAGCCATGTAGGACGATGCAGACTAGGTGGTTGGGGTCCACGGGACAAGAGGAACCAGTGGTTGGAGACCCTAGGTGATATGGCTCAGAACCGAAGTCAGTGGCGCAGATGTATACACACATTATCCTCATCTTAACAACGCTATACCGAATCTCACTATTTTGTCACTCCTCTTTCCTTTCTTCTCGTACTTTATATTTCTTTTGACTGCATTCACTTATCTTCATCCTTCACCTCACTACCTTTTTACTTGATGTGCTGATATGAGGTGTGGCAACTCGGACCGTTACGCAGTAATGCCTGGTCCTATGTTGATAATGATGATGATGATTTTGAATATACTTAGTACTTATTAAGTTTAATTGCTCTTTAACAATTGTCGATGTAAAATTAACCATCAATTTGACTGAAGTAGGAGGGGGGGGCTTGGCCGACTTGTATTGATACTGGGTAATGATTAAAGGTGCAACGAAAATTTGAATGGTGGCAGGATTCGAACCAGCGACCACCTGGTATCTCGAATAGTCACACTCGGTATGATGCTCTGCCTCTTTTATTCAAGTAGATTTGGATTTGAATGAGAAGTCCTGACTGGACATTTAGTATGAGTATGATCAAACGGTAGTAATGCGTGACGAATTTTACATGGCAGTTGGGCGAAATTCGTAGTGATAAGAGTGAAATGAACAACTTGTCACCAGTCGCGTCTTACAGCTCAGTTGGTCGTAGAGCACCGGGTCGGAAACCCAGTGATTTCCTGGCTTTAATCCTATTATAGGCCAAATTTTCCTTTAACGTTCAACTGTCATGTAACTTTGCTTAAATGCTAAGTGTAATTAGTATGAAAAATATTCTGACTTATTTAACTTCTCATCGATTCGCTTAACGATGATGAATGGGTATAAAGTTCAATATAATTTTGAGGCATTTCACGTCTAACTTTTATATTCATCCATCAACACTGCTGGTTGCAACATTCTTCAGATCTTATTCTTACCATCGTAAACAGTTCTTTTGAGAATTCCTATTTCCTATTGACTTATATACTTCTGATTTCTGTCAGTTATACATCAGTGATATCGTTTTTATATCCTATTTAGTTTTATTGCTTTTGTGTAACCTATTGTTTATTCATATTCAGTTTAGATTGTAGGGTTAAGTGAAGTTGAGAAATTTTATTGCGATTCTATACGACCCTTTCCTTGCCTTGACAACAAGCTTCCAAACAAACTAAATCGATTGAGGCCGTATACTTTGTTAACAATCTCTATAGTTTGATGATTGTGTGTGAAAGCTGATAATTATCAGTTAATTAATATTTTTTTTGCTTTACTGGGATTATTGGATTCAATGATTGTGAGAAAATGTCAATTTGAACATCACCTTTTATAGTCTTATCTGAAAGCTATAATAGAGTAGTCTTTAGACTTCGGTGTACAAAATCTCATGTTTTTCGGGGACACCTTCAAATCAAATTTCCTGTATCTTTCGTAACTTTTTTGAGTCACTGTTTTCTTAAGTATGTTGTATATTTGTAGTTACGGCTTGAATAAATTCATGTTACTAATCATGAGAGTGTTTAAATCAAAGTTTTTAAAAAGGTATATAAACCATTTGGATAATATTAACATACTTGACTTTCAGTGAGGCTTATTATATATAAGTTAAAGGTAATATATTTTATAACAATTCTGTATTAGTCAACTGTCGTTCTTTAAAGCATTACATTACGATTTTTCATACTGGTCCTGTTTATGCAGTCGTTTTTTAACTGCCAATAAAGTTATTTGTTGATCGTATGCTCTCAAAATACTTTTCAGTTATGAGATCTCATTATTTTTTTTGTATTGAAGATTTTACTGTTTAGAGTAACAGAAGCGATAAACGACAGGTTCAGTTCTTTTTCTCCTACTATTATTATATCAGACTAAAAGTGGCATCAATTCATGAAATCACTGACTGTTGGTCTGCGTTGTGTTGGCTGGTGTCGACTACCTAGTTAACGTTCTTTAATCAAAGATTGAAGGCACTTCATGATATGATCCCAAATCGATCACAGCGACGCAGACGTACAAAATCTTTATCATACTCGAAAGGCTAAAAATTCTCTTTAACCTTCATTTATTTATTCTCTCCGCTATCATACGCTTAACTCCACTTTAAAGTTGTTATGTTTTGAATTGAAATCATAAGATTCTCCTGACTAAGGCATCACGACTAATAACGAAGATGGAGAACAACAAGGACAAAAGAATTTTCTATTTGTTGGGGTGGTCAACAACTAGAGGCTAAAAGAAAGATATTTATAGCGTCTCTTATAGCATTCATGGCTCGATTCTCGGTAGGGTCATGGGTGCGCTCTGCTAAGGTGTCCAATACTAGGATAAAACGTCTATCCAGTGCTCTCAAGTTTCCACTGGTTATCCAACTATATCAGTTCGTGACGAATACCAACGTGAAATCAATAAATTCTCACAAACCTCCAAAATGATTTGTTATACACTTGAATGAATGTATAGACAAAAAGTAATAATACTTGATGATGATTGAAGGTGAAATGAAAATCTGAAAATACTTTCAGGATATCCATTACTAAAAGGTCATTATACTTTAGTTTGATACCTTGTGTTCGACATCAAAAAAGTTACCAGTTGTATTAGAGGTTATAGATGAAGACAAATCCTTGTAAAAAAAAATATGAATTGTTATTGAAATAGAATCATTTTGTCTAAAATCTACTTTTAAAAATTAACTGTAAGCTTTTGTATTTATCCTCCTTATTATTAACTGAATTTTTGTTTTTACAATGTTTTTCTGCATTCATCAGCTATAAAACTGGTGATCATGTTGCACTGCTCGCTCCAAATCCTCCAGATATTGTCAAGCGTATCGGTGATCTTCTAAATGTTGATTTGAATACAGTTATCAACTTGGAGGCAGTTGATTGTAAGTGTGTGTGTGTGTGTGTGTCAAACAGCGTTTTCTTCATGGGATGGATGCTAACTGACAGTAGCACATGCTCTATAAATTCAAGTAGCTGGATAAACAAAATTATCATATTTTCTCCAAATAAGTCCTTTTTCCTTCATCACATTACTGTTTCACAGTGGGAATGATAATTGCATGTTTTTGCAAGGTGAAATATGAAATTTTAGTTCATTTCAGCTAGAAAATATTTTTTATTTCCTTTTATTTCTGTTTCACAAATACCTAGTAAAGTTGAAACTTTGCGTGTTAATTTTAAGCAAAATCCGAGTGTCATTATAATCCTATTTCGTCTCTTTTGGGTGTCACATTGCATCAAGTTGATGCCAAAAGTTCCTTTTATATTTGTGTTGAGATCTTATCATAGCTGATTAGTTGTTCAGGTAATTGAGGTGATCAACGCACTCGATAGTTTTGTTATTTTTTTCCCGTAACTTAGCTACTGGTCCATACTCTGCTCTACTTTGCATAGCCTAAAGAACCAGTGTTACTAACCCTTAGACAATATGTGTGACTTATAGCTTAATGTGTAGGCCAGAGTACGATTTCTGGTTTGTATTATTATCATTATTTCACTGCATATATGAAACGTTTTCTCAGTTTAAGCTTATCATTTATGTTGAAAGAATAAATAATTTTACCGAATCTAAATTTGAAGCAAAGTATAAACTGATAAAATAGCTTTTAAGTTCCATTGATATAAGTGTAAAACTTGGGCACTGTGGTCGAGTGTAATTCCATTTTAGTCTTTTTATTAGAAATATCACACAGTGAAACACTACCAGTAAATGCTACTGTTTCACTGTATGATATTTCTAATAAACAGACTAAAATGGAGTTTTTAGGTTCATTTTGTCCCAATTTGTATGCAGGGCAAAATAAGTACAGGCATATCTAGACCTTGATGAAATGGATCTAACAATAAAAAGTAGTAAAAATTTGTCAACTTTTAGATGTCTTAAACTCACATAAAGGTGGCATAGTTTTATGCATTCAACGAACAGAGATAAAATATTTTTGATGCTTCCCTTCTCAGTTGCTCCTAAGTGTGCTTCTATATTTTTTCACAGGTGTATAAAGTGTTTAGTTTCACTGCAGTTTTTCAATGCTTTTTCTTTTTCTTTAGCTCACAGCTTGATAAGACATCCTTTTCCGTGTCCATGTACTTACCGTCATGCGTTTACTTATTTCGTGGATATTACTGGACCTCCAGGAAAGAATTTATTCTCTGCATGCTTAAATTCAATAATTGATCCCGATGAATTGCAGTTTGTGCGACTTCTTATTTCAAACAGTGAAGAGGGAAAGGTATATTTCATCTGTTTACAGTGTTAGTGTTTTCATTTGCTTTCGTATAAAACCTCTAAAAGTTGATGTTTTGTATATGGCAGTTATCGAGATCCTCGTTTACCTCCATAGATCAATGATCTAAGTGTGTCTCATACACTGCTACTCAGTAACCTCATGCAAGTCCATACACTAAGCAATGAACCAAATAAGTTCTCCAATGGCTGATGTTACTGACTCTTAGTAAATATATGTCTAAGCTACTTTCGGTCCACATTGGAGTCAAGGTCAACTGAGATGAGTCTTCTCACATAAATCAGTTCGAGTGGGGTTGCGGAAAACCACTGGCTTTTGTTGACCTTTGGCTATGGGTTACCAGGCATCTACTGCTATTCCTACAGCAGACTGAATATTATTGAAGAATTTGGTGCTGTACTCAGGTTAATGCACAGCTATCGTCTCCCTAAGCACGTACTTGGTACTCTCATCTTCCAGTCCAGCACACAAAGGCTTCACCTCTATCTTTTTTCTGTTACCACTGAGGCCTAGATGCATACGTGCCCGTACTAACGTGTGGTCGAACTTCAGGTAGGTACTCCAGAAGGTGGCAATCCTTCATCGGTCCTCTCCAATGATGGCATATAGCAATATGATCTATCTGTGTCCATCGTTGGTTTGATGTCGGTGGATCCTATGTGAGACAATACCTCTTCTTATGCTTGGAACTAGTACTGGCCAGAAACGAGTGGTTGCCAGAAGGAAATTGCAGCAGATAGTCGCCGTTGTCGGTTAGTTATCATGGGATTCCGTAGAATCCCTCTAATATACCTTTCCGATTGGGTCATTGAAGTCGCATGGTGTTATGACTGTATCTGATGCTTTTGCATTCTGCATCGAAACCGATAGCTTTTGCTGGAACTTATACTGTGTATCATCTGCACTGCAGTCGGTGAGCACGTAAGAAGAGACTGCGAATAAGTATCGTTGAGTATCACGATCCTTACTAGTTCTTGCAAACCCATTCAGTCAGACAGCTCACACACGGCTGTCGAAGTCGAGATGAACTTAGTAACCAAATGCAGTAAACAGTAAGCCACAACTACCCAAAGTCGGTAGTTGGAGCGGCATCTCATCCCGTGAGCCACAGGTCAAAGGTTGACTTGCTTTTGAATACACAAAGGGGGTTTGAACGTTCGTATCGCTAAAAGCTTCAATGAACCTACATACACAGTCTTGACGGCTCCTGTACTCCTCCCGATGTACGTGTGACCGCACATGCATATAAATTGGTACACACAGAGGGATGTGACGTGGTTATGAGGTTTATTTTGAAGCATTGGTTTCGTTTTCTCTATAGAATTGAGCTTGTCTGCATAGTATGTTTTTTAAATAACCTAATAAAGCCTTCATCTTAAGATCATACTGTTCGGTTCACCCTTCTACGATAGCGTGATGTAAACATCCTTCTTCTGGACGGAATACTGATTAGTTCTCAACGTTTAATAATAATAATAATAATAATAATAATAATAATAATAATAATAATAATAATAATAATAGCCTTATTCCAAAACACACAAATGATACAGTATGGAATTCTCAGTATGTAATAGTTCAACAAATTCATTCCCTGTACATTAACCTGTGAATAAAATCACGATTGTTTTTAAATAGTGTTAGGAATAACAGTAATAAAAGCCACAGCGTAAAAGTGGCACCTGGTATTACCTTGGCGTCTACATTGGACTGATGAAAGAATAGGAAATCGAGCGTAATTTTAGTTGTGGTAGTTGATGCACCCACTATCAAAATCTGCAGTTTAACGTAGTTATCCAATGAATAGTAATGTACTGTATTTATATGCGTTTATAAGCCCGTCTCTTACCGGCGTATCCTTTATTCTTTGTTATGTGGTTGACTTGAAAAACAGCAGTTTGAAACCATTTAAAAAGTGTGCAATAGTAAACGACGCATTTAAGAGACATATTTAAAAGACTGAAATAGATTGAAAGAAATGAATTCGGTAAAATAAATTATGTGGAAAATTTCTGGTAGCCCAGAGGTTAAGCCTGAACAGGAATTTCTCACGTTGAGACGTTTTTATAACGATTTATGAACTTCCGTGGATATTCGTTTTTCATAAGTGTCTCTGCTAGGAATGTGATTTCTTCTTTTAATGTTTCTCTTCTACAGATACTCTGAATCCTTCTGAATAAGCATTTTACTAAACCTCGTTTTTACTTTATTGGACAGAAACTATGAAAGTTTAGGTACTGTCTGACCCAAGTAGGTTTTCTGTACCTTGATCTTTTTATCGACCTGTCTCCTTTTCTACTCAATAATATGTTAAGAAAAGGTAGCTGGATTATTATTTTCTACACGATAAACTGATATGGCTTTGCATGATTCTAAAGTCTCTCTAAAAGGCTTTTGCATGCTAATGTTTGTTATGTATAACTAAGATATCATCAGCTTACCTGCTGCACAGAAGGAGTTTGTTGATCAAATCTCCAAGCAGAATTTCTACATATGACATGTAGACATCAGCTAACAGTGGCCCTGGGGGACTAAACATAAGCACACTGTGAACTGGTCGAAAATGTTCACCTCCAAAAGTCCAGTGAACCTTATCAGTACGTAATCGTAATAGCTCTTTCCTATATTTTGGAGAGATGCGGAGTCAACGGTTATTCAACGATATGTAATCGCAAAGAATGTCAACAGTCTTAGTTAAAGGCACACTAGTGAATAAATCAGTAAAAAAAAAAATCCGATAAATAGTGGAGGCAGACAGACGTCTATAGGTAAACATATTTTAGAAACAGGTCACACGATTGACCCTAAATTAGCCTTTAGACCATCTCATAGGAGCCGTCAGGATCATAAAAGCAGGTTAATTCAGGCCTTAGGTGTACGAAGGTTTAACTCCCGTTCGTGTATTCAAGTACAGTTTTTCTTTACCTTTAGCATTCCATGATAATCTTTATCTCGAAAGTCAACTGTCTAGACAGATGAGCCGCAACTGTACATGAATCGCTTTCGACTGGTATCCAGTCGAGAAGTGCGCTCTCTACTGTGCAACTTAATGCTGTACGTACATCGATGAGTCCATAAAGGCTAACCATTTAATCTCCAGACATTCCTGAAGTAGTTTTTGTGGATTCAGTAGATTGGTGAGGTAAGCTCAAGAGAATAATCATGCTTGGTTTCTATGGTCTTATCTCTGTTTAAAGCACTTTACAGAAAGTGTATCAACAAAATTCACAGCAGAGCAGAGCAAACTCTGGAATTAAAAAATGCCAAAAACACATGGATTCATACATTGTGATCAAAGCCCCAAAATAATCAGTTATTCAAAAGAAATGAGAACATCATAGAACTAAGTAAAGTTTCTAAAATATAATCGTGCAATAAGAAAAGTATGATTTTAACGGAACGAAACGAGCAAATGAAGTAGCATTTTAAGGAATGTGAAACATACTACTTATTAATAGTAAGTAGTATAAGACCTAATGCACAAAAACGATACAAGGGTATTCACAAAATAGAGCGAAGTAGCAGGGGAATGAATATCACTCTCTTAAATTCAGCATTACTTTCCCTAGTTTGCCTTCTAGTAAAGTGCAGAAACGATATAACTTAGTTATATATACTAGTCAGTGGTTTAAGTTTTACCAGGCTTACTTCTCAATTACACCCAGAAAATAAATTCGATAAGTTTTTCTGGTGAGTTCGTAGAAAGGTGTTGACACTTACGTCTCCTATTCATCCCTCAGAGCCTGTTACAACACTCATATTGATTCCTTTCGACCAGTGATTCATGATATTAAGTTCCTCAGTAACAAAACCTAGATCTCTTGTTTACAAATCTCAATGCTCTTACTTCCACTTGGTAAGCGTTTGTTGAACAGCTATTTATTTTCTTGACACACTTCCTGTAAATTGTTTTCTGAAGGTGATAACCATACAGGCAGTAGACATTACCTGAAACGGCTTTAAATACTAAATAAGAACTCGTCTCGAGTCAAACTTATGGTACGGACATGACAATTTTAAAAATATATCTTAGGTACACTGCCTTTAATTACAACCTTATTTTACTATTCAGTTATGTATGAAATTTATATTCAATGGAACTGAGCAATACAGGATTTCCCTATAGTTGTAAAGTGGTTTGTATACTAGCTCTCAAACCAGATATATTACGTCTAAACTGTCTTAACTGAAATATGTGGAACGGGTTTTAAATTCATAATCTTTTCGTTGCTTATTACATGACTTGACTGTAGACATGTTGCTAAATGTAAGCAGTTCGTCATTTTTAAAATAACACTCTAAGAAAAAAGTTGATCCATGTAACTGGTCTCCACCTTTATTAGTACTGATTATGATTATTATGATGACACCCTGCTACAGAGACACAAGGTATCTTGTCGTCAACAAAGTGAAAGAATTAGCTTAGTCTGTAATGATATGTAATTGTGAGCTGAGAAACTGATAATTTTACTGATCTGAGATCATTTTCATACTTAACTATATATCTTCACTTCAATCTTATTACAGTTTAAATATTTTTGTTGTGTAGTCAATAAATTTAATGCAAATTATTTTAAAATGTTTTGATGGTCGTGGTTTTATTCATTTGTGATAATTGTAAAGAAATTATACTCAAAATGGATTTTAGAAGATCATCGTGGACTAACTGAAGTATTACAAGATCTTAAAACATTTCGACCACCAGCTGATCTATTGCTGGAGCTATTGAATCCTTTAAAGCCAAGATTATATAGTATATCATCATCTTCTTTAGTACATTCGAGACGAATTCATATAACTGCTGCTGTGGTGAAATATCAAACGACTTCAGGTGGGTACTGACCAATTGTTTTCATTATTATTTACCACTTAACTAATTTTATTGATTGTATTCATCATTTGACTAAGTGGTAATATGATAAGAGATTAGACAAAATAATTGGGAGTTATAATTTGTAAACCGAGAAGTTTTCCTCGAGGAAATTTACTTCTATATCAAAATTGTAAACTATAGAAAGCAGAAAAATCGCATAAAGCAGTTTCATAAAACATTCCCAAATCATTTGATGGTCATCTTAATTTTAAGTTACGGTATTTACAGTGAAATCAGTTGTAACTATGATAACACTTCCACTTTGATTAGAATCAGTAATTCTCATCTTTGTGTTGATCACTACATTAACTTTTTATGCTCGTCTTTTGCCTGTTTGTGTGTTGTGTGCTACTCGGTAACCAAATAGCATCATATGTTTTTGGTTCTGTTGTGTTCTCTGAGCTGGGTTGTTTAATCGTGAAGCTTTCATCGTCTTCCTAGACGACGTCTTCAGCACTAACTTCAGTGTGAACTTAGTGCTGAAGACGTCGTCTAGAAAGACGATGAAAGCTTCACGATTAAACAACTCACCTCAGAGAACACAATACGACCAAGACCATCCACCTGAACTACAAATATTCTCCTCTATTTCAACATCATATGTTTGCCAGACTTCGGTTATTCTGTTACTTCTAGCTACGTAGACTGAAGTAACTGGAGTAGAAATCTCACTCGTGATAGGTGTCTGTAAACTCGAGTCATAACTTCCGTACAACGAAAAGGATTTCATGTGCTATATAAGATAATGAGAGATTTGTAGTTCAGAAGGCGACCTGTCCATCCTTTTGTCCCTGATTTTCAACAAGTTATTTCTGAAATACAGGCAATCATCTGGTACACTAAGTATCTACTGGTCACATTTTCGTCAAACTCATATATGATTATTATTATTATTTGTCCCTTGGGTTCCTAGTGGAACATAAGGCTTCAGTAGCACATCTCCAGTGCACTCTCTTCTCTGCAATCTTTTAAACCTGGCTCTACTACAGCCCAGAAGCTCTCATTTCTTCCTCACACGGTCTCCTCCATGTTACTCTCATAACGGAATCCCAACTCGTCGTTTCCCATATGGGTTCCACTCGAGGGCTTGGCCTGGCACGTGATGACCCCAAACGGTCTTCTCAGTGCATGCCTAATCCATCTCCACTTCCTTCTGCATATTTGTTGAGCGATAGGTTCTTGGTTGGTTCGTTGCCAGCCTGCCAGAGTTCCTTGTTGCTTATTCTTCCTGGCCATCTGATCTTCAGTAACGAGCCAGCGTAGGCAGTTGTTGATGAATGTCTGTAGTTTGTTGGAAATCCCTTTCGTAACGCACCAAGTTTCTGAACCATATAGAAGCGTTGACCTGACGTTGGTGTTGAAAATCCGGATCTTCTATATGCTGAGTGCAGAAGATCTCCATACTGGTTTCAGGTTAATGAACGCCTGTCTTGCTTCTCCAATCCTGGCTTTGACATCCTCGTCTGTGCCGCCTGTAGTTGGACCGATGCTGCCTAGATAGGTGAAAGAGGCTACTTCCTTTAAGTTCCTCCCATTGATGGTGATTGGAGCTTGTTGTCATTGTTGTTGTTGTAGGTGGTGGCGTTGGTTGGGTATCTTCATCACCTCTGTCTTCTCTACGTTCACTTGAAGTCCTGAATTCGCTGCCTCTTCAGTCAACTTGTTGGATTTTGCCTGTAGATCTTCAAGTTTATGTGACATTAGACACAAGTCATCGACGAAATCGAAATCTTCTAGGTTCTTTTCCGCGGTCCAGCGTATGCCCCTTTTCTCGCTCCTCACTGTTTGTTGCATGATCCAGTCTTCCAACAGTCAGGAATATCATGGGTGATAGTAGACAGCCTTGTCTTACTTCTGTTTTCACTTCAAAGGCATCAGTGAGCTTTCCATTGTGAATTACTTGGCATGTGGCGTCTTCACGTAGTTGTTGAATGAGATTGATAAAGGTTTGTGGTATTCCGTAGTGTTGAAGCAGTTGCCAGATTACTTCTCGACCGACACTGTTGAAAGCCCTTTCAAAGTCGATGAAGTTGAGTTAGAGAGAGAGTTGACTGGCATTCTATGCTCTGTTCTATAATGATGTGAAGCGTTTCAATTTGATCCGCACATGATTCGTACTTCCTGAAGCCAGCCTGTTCCGGTCGTAATTTTGAGTCCAGCGCATCCTTTAGTCTCTCCAGGATGATGCGGCCTAATATTTTGCTTGGGGTGGACAGGAGCATGATTCCTCGCCAGTTCTTAAAAAGAATGTGGTCTCCCTTCTTTGGGAGTTTGACAAGGTAGTCCTTCTTCCAATAGCCAGGTACCTTAACTTCCTTCTAGACCTTCTGCAATAGTGATGTGGTGTCAGCATGTCCGCTGTCGTCTCCGCGTCTGTTCTCAGTGCTTCTGGTGGGATTCCATCTGGTCCTTCTGCTTTCCCGCATTTCAGTGGCCTTACGGCATTCAGGACTTCGACTCTCGTCGGAAGACTTGTGTTCACTGGTAATTATATATATATATATATATATATATATATATATATATATATATATATATATATATATATATATATATATATATATAGTCGTGTGCGTATGTAATCGGTGGATTTTTGAATTGACCAGTCCAAAGATGTTGAGACTTTGAGTAGAAAATGCATCACAATTTGCGAACTCACTGTACAAAGCTAAAGCAGAAAGAAAGATTTTGGTTAACCAAAAAAAGATTAGCGTTTATCAGGACCACCTAAACTCATGAGTCACTTGTTTCTTTTTCCTACCAGCTGATAACCACAGAGACTATTTTTCACATATTTCGAATTGATAGGTAATAACTACATATTAGTACTATTCCCTGATTGACCGTATTGTAATTTCCCACGTATCATAGTGGTTAGGATCCCCTCTATTCAAGCCATTCCAGTTGCTCCATAATAGTTAACATACTTTTTCCATGTAAAATCGTAAATTCAGCCTCAATTTTGATTACTCATTGACGGTACTTAGAAGACATGATACATATGTGGTTTTCTATGAAATAAACCACTCCCTGTAATTTTTTTCCTCATATACAAAGTTATTCAACGGCAAACTTCTTAGGTAATCTGAGTACTTTAAGATTATAATAAACTATTTACATATATCTAGACAAGGTAATGTCAAGACAATCGAAGAGAGAAGTTCCAACCGCAAACAAGTATATTGGATCGTCTTATTTATTTTAAAAGATCTATTTCACAGTATTACTGCATAGGTCAATCGAAGAGCTTCGTATTGGTTTCCGTATGAATTATTATATCCCAATAATTCGTTAATGAAAGTTGATTGTTGTGCGTAGCCTTGTTTTTTGGGACATTTTAAGTTCGTAAATGGCCTTAAAGGTAACTCCAGCAATTACTGAAATAGTCAGTAAGATGCCTTTATTTACGCTGGAAAGGTAGTTTTTCATAAATTACAGGACTGTTATTGGTGATTTCAGTATTTGCTTGGGTGAAATTTAGAGCCAATTCTGTACGTTAAGAGTCTAATATATCTAGATGCACATATGCATGAATCATATTATTATTTTTTACCAGATCAGTTAGAGACAGTATTATATTCTACTAAATAAATGGCAAATCATATGATTATGACATGGGGGAATTATGTATGAGAGACGTTGGAGTTGTATTTCCAACTTGAACACGTGTTTAATCAGAGGTATAAGCGAATTAGAAAATCCCGTGGTAGATGATAAAGACGACAGTTTGCAATCTGAATCTCCTTATGGAACTGGAGTTTTACAAATTTGTGTATTATTCACAATTCCTTTTGAAATGATTACAAAATTTATAGTTTCTAAAGTCTGTTCTAAGCGATTTTTTTCTATTGCTGTAAGCTGCTACCTTAACATTGTAAGATTCACTCACATATAAACTGAAGGTTTTTCTAATTATAATTCTCACTTCATACCTACCTGTATTGACTGTTTTACTCTATGTTCACTGCTTTAAGTATTTCAGTTTCCCTTTTAATTTAATGCTTTAGATTATTTTTTGTGAGGACAAATGGGAAGTGTGGGTGCACGACTTTCTACATTTTATATGCTAACAAAGCTTCCACTCATTCAACTATATAAAAAATATTGTCGTACTGACCAGCGATGCTTTTGAATGTAGTTTTTTCCCCCACTAAAACTTAGTTTCATTGATATTTCCACCACCAGGTCGCCTATTCAAAGGACTTGCTACAAGTTGGTTATATTCCTTGCACGTAGAAAATTGTCAGCAAACATATATCAAGATACCGATTACGATTCACTCAAGTAAATTCTATTTACCGCGAAGTCGTACAATCCCTATAATAATGGTAGCAGCTGGTACGGGACTTGCTCCGTTCCGTGCATTCATACAAGAACGCATAAAGATGGCTAATGATAAAGGTGATTTTCTTTTCATTTCGGTATATTTCCGTGCTATATCTGCTCTGTTTCTAGAATTTATCTTGTTTACGAAAATGTAAAAGAAAGTAAACACTATTAAGCCTTTTAATTTCGTAGTAAGTTGTAATTTTTTAACTGAAATGTTTTTTGTAAACTTCCGAGATAAGGTTAGATTGTTTGTAATACGCGGTGATTCTATTTTCATATTTCTGGGTTTCAAATTAAGTAATCTCGCTCATGGACTGATGTAATAAGTAATTAGTTATTTACCTCAACCTTCTCAAATATTAAGGAAATACATTTGTAAGTTTTCATTGAGGTGGAAAAATAAATTTCTGAAGTTCCACTAACTCGCTGAAGCGTTCCCTTCAGAGAATAAGACCTGTGTTAAATAACTCCGTATATACTAATCACGCACAAACTAATTTTCTGATTCATATTACTTTCTTCACAACTTAACACTCATTCACACTTTCACATCGCCTTGAATTCACGTACTAATAACAGATGAAGATGACATTGATTCCCATATTATTATCATGTATGAGAGCGATCTGATTTGTCGCCACTCACTGTTTGTACAGGTGTTATTCTCTGAAGGAGCGTCTTCCACGAAGACGTGAAACGTCAGAAATGTATTTTCCCACCTCGGAATTTTACAGATAATATATCCTTTATAATCCCGTCTACCGAATTCCCAACTTATTCAATCCTATCAGGTAAAATTTTGATCCTTATGTCTATAAAATCTCAAATATTATTTGATGAGACATCCAAATGAGGTTGACTCGTTTCCTAAACCTATTGTCTTTAGAAATAGATGTTGGCTCTGTTTTCTTTTCAATCCAACCTAGTTTTCTGAAGTGCTGGTAGCTGCAGAAAAGTTAGTGAGAATCGAGTTGTATTCTTTCCTTCGAACAGCGTAGACAAGATGGCTACACCAGCTACTGATAAGTGTCCCATAACCTTCTGAAGAGTGAATGTTTGTAAGGACTGATTGCATAGTTGATAAACACTAAGAATTCCAAAACTACTCAACAATACATTTGCATAATTTATATATTAGTGACTGATGGGAGTAGTGCGTTAGGAACTAGTTACATTTTTTACTTACCCTCTACCGCATATTTAAGGAGGAAGCTAGTGAACAATATATGTCTTTATCACAGGTGGCAGAAATGGGCAAATGATGTTATTTTTTGGTTGTCGTCATGAAACTGAAGATTTCATTTATTCAACTGAATTGAAACAAGCTTGTGCGACTGGCTTACTGGAAATATTCTCTGCCTTTTCGAGAGACTCTAACGATGGTACAAAAGTCTATGTCCAGCATAAACTTCTACAGATGGGTCATAAGGTGTGGAAACTTTTGGATGAATCTCATGCCTACTTTTATGTTTGTGGGTAAGTGACTTCTGATTATTTGACTGCATAAGAAATCGATTCGGAAACAATACGAATAGAAAATTGCTTCTTTTCGTGTAATTATTTCTTTAGGGAAAGGAAGTGGAACGTCCGGAAGTTCTTATAGTCGATTGACAAGGTTGTGAGCCCTAGTTGACCTAAATAGCTCGGACGTGTTGCGCATATCGAGACACTGCCTACCTCGACGTGCCATGGTAGAGGAAGTCGGATTGGGTTAAAAGAGTTCAGGATAGCCAGACCAAAACCTGATACATCAGCTGATGAAGTCGCTGACTGTTGGTCTCAGTCGTCTGGGTATATGTAGACTGCTCGACTGGAGTCCTCGAGACGAAAGGAATCAGTGGTTGAGGTCTTTTGGTGATAATGGCTGAAAATCAGTCACAATGGAGATGTATACTCTCTGACGTCTCCTAAAGCTTGAATGTCGGCACTTACCGTTATCTTCGAATTGTTTATTCTACCACACAACTTCGCTTACTCTAATGTGGGTGTTTTTCTATTCACCTTTTCCTTGTGTACTACTGTGAAGTGTGGCAACTTGGACCGACGCACTTGCGTGCGGGGATGCTTTGTACGTAGTTACCTATTAGGAAATTTGACTTGATTCCAGCTCAAGTCTTTTTATTATAAACTACATACTGCAGTAGAAGACTATACTGTTATTACTTTCGCTTCTAGTGAAACTTCTTAACCATTAGAAAAGATAAAATGGTAATCCCAAAGGGAAGTTACAGTCAAAAAATATTAATCCCATCCCAATAAAATCTGAAGACCTCTCTATTCATAGTTTATTGATGTTATTCTAAGCTTGCTACTGAAGTGTAGTCGACGATCTTTAGATAATCGCTAGTATGAAATAAAATCCAATTAACAGTAGATTTATCCATCTTTATCTGGTCGATTGATTGCATTACAAATACCTTTTCAGGAACGCCTCTGGTATGGCTCGTGATGTTCATTCATGTTTAATTGAAATAATAGCAAAGCACTCCCAGCTTACCAATGCAGCTGCAACCAATTACGTTATGGACCTACGAAAACAAGGACGATATCGTACAGATGTGTGGAAATAAATGTGAACAATTTCTCTCGAACAATTTTTTAATACTTTAGTGTACAGTTTAACATATATTGTTCTATCAACAGTCTCCTTTTCTATTCATCAATAAAAATCTGATGCTAATTCGTAAATAACGTTGACTTAATCCCTTTGACAACTCAAGTAAATAGTGCGTTGCAGCCCTTAATAATCGTTGTCAACTGCAATAGAAAGTTCACAGGTTCTTACCCTGTAGTAAGTGATTTTATTTCGATAGAAATTTGTAACGGTTTATTTGCAGGCAGTTTACATTCGTCTACCCTTCTTCTGACGTCATAGAAGGGCAATTTAATATTTTCGGGAGGAGCAGAGGTTATGATGTACAAGCTTCCAATGATATTTAGTAGTTATAAGATAGTCAAAAGATTAAACAATGCATTTTCGTCAAAATTATACCATAGAATTCATCATAAGCGCCACATATAAATGGTTTATACAAGTTCTCTAGCCCTGAATACTACTGCGAAGGCTAATGCCTCTTTCTATGTAACTTATCCGTCAGTGATCTGTCTATCTTCCTAGCTTTCGCTTTGTGTCCTGGATATTTCACAACAGCCACTAGTAGATAAAAGTAGAGTAATTACTCTTTTGTAAGTCATGACTGAAAAAGCTGTTTCTAAAGTGATTCTATTCATTACTCATATTCACAATGCACCTAGTTGAAGTTTAAGAAAATCTATTATTTAATCTTTGTTTTTGCAGTCAACGTTAAAAAGATCCAACAGGAAGCATTCAACATTCATAACCGGATTGCATTTTGAAAACCTAAGTCGCTTAGACAGACAAATTTCTAAAATTTCATGTTGTCTTCGAAACCAATTCAACAGGCGATAACTACATAGGTTCGTTTTTTTAAGAACTCGAAACTACGACTGGGAGCAACATGCTCTGAAACCTACGTTCATGGCAGCGATAGGTGCATTCCGTATTCTCTCGCCTACTTTACTACCAAGTATGATGCAACTATTTATTTTAACACATTACTTTTTCCTGCCGACATTCCGATACGACCGTATTAAGACTTATGTTTCTGTATGCACAATCATCCAGTTGTTGGCAGTTCATACGAAACTATTCGAAGGACATCTAAAATTAATGGCTTTCGTAAAGAGGTCTTAATCATCAAATTATAACTGATAAAAAAGTTGCATCAGTAGGATTGGCGCAACCAAGTAAACAGCGTTTATTTGAAAAAAGAATGATTATTATAAAGTATATGTTTGTTTATTTATACATTGGTAATCCTGACTTCACATCCACGAATGGAATAGTGCGACCCGTGCTGAAGTAACCAATCATTTTCCCAATTGATATGTCTTCGTAAATAAGTGCAGCTGTATAGTGATAGGCAACGTTCGAAAAAATCGCAACATATTCAAACACAGCGAACACAGTGTAAACTAGAAAAACCAAAATTTAAAAAAATCGTCAGCAGAAGCAATATCATGAGTCCACCCTACGTATAAAGTAACGCCTCAATTAAAATACATGTAAAAACTTCGGTTGCAGAGGTCAAAAAGCTTAGTTATGATACGACAACTAACTTTTTCGAATTAAGAGTGGTCTTACCAAGTGTAAACGAAAGATGCAAAGTAAAACAATGCACATAGATATTATCTAATAATGAATATTTAATAGGAAGTCATTAAGAGGTTGACTTTCACTAATGTCGTGTCCCCACGCATTTGGGTTGAACGTCAATAGGATACATTTGAACACGCATAACATGAAAAGGTTTGCCGTTATGACGGCTATTCACCTGCTATGTGTATGTATTATGACCAATTAATCAATGAATAGTCAGTGGTATTCTTTGGATGCATATTAGTTTTCAAAGAAGCAGGCAGTAACATTTGTAAGTCCAACTTTTTCGATTGCATTTCAAATTATTTCAACCTAGTACGTACCATAGTGAGTCAAGACTCCGCAACTGGTTAGATGGAATTTCGCATCCTTGGTTAGATTTTTTGTGCAGTCAAACTGACGAAATTCCGTAATTCATGCATCGCTTGTGGGCCACTCTCAAAACTTAGTTAACAATTAAAAAAATAAAAGGTATTCAACCACCTTGTGCACATCCGTGCTCTAGACAATGAGCCACACCTATTATGTGAAGGCTAGTGATACTACCTGGCTGCTCAAAGCTCGGTAGATGAGGCGAGGTTTAAATCCGTGACCCACTGGTTAATAGTTATCTAGTTAACTAAGAGGTCTAGCAAATGAACGAGCATCAGCTCATCTGGTGACTGTTAGCCACCAAAAACTGTAGTTCAATGACAAGTGAACTATAAGATACTCCATATTTTTCCTCCTTTGAAACCGTTCTTGTCGCAGCTTGAAATGATAGTACTTACTGGTGTGTTAGATGGTGGGAGTTAATCAGCAGAAAGACCTGGACCTAGGTTTCATGCGTTGTTAGCACTCATCAAACAGGACAAGGTAACTACATCGGTTATCTACTCATATGCTTCTTGGTGTAGAATCAGAATCCTCATAACCAATTTACAAATGACAGTAGAGAAGATTTGTAACTCAGGATGAGAATAATTATTAGATGTTCTCCGATGTTGGCTCTTAGACGTTTTATCGGTATTGACTTCATAAGAACAGCAAAACAAATGCTGAAAGGTATTTATTTTGCCGTACAGTAGAAACTAGTTTAGCTATACTCTACTGAACTTACCATAAGGAGGACAAGATGTTATATGAATGTAATAAGATAACATGATGACCAACAAACAAGATAGGTAAACGGCGAAAATGCGTATCTTCATTTTTAAGATATTCCTCTGAAAAAAAGAATCCAAGTATCTGGTCAACACGACAAAGATGTATGAGATAAGCGGCAAGTGAGTCGGAAAAGTATACAAGTTATGCACAAACAACGATCTAAACATGCAAATGAGCATAAAAATGTTACAAAACAACTCGATTGTAATTCATAGTTATTAAGTAGAGTTATTCAACATATTTTTATGTCTTATTTTTGACAGCAAATGATTTACAGTTTGCAAGGAATTAAACCGTCACTTTAGTAAATGGTAACGAACCAGATCTGATTCGTCACCATTTACCATTTAAACAGTCGGTAACTTGTACAGGTTTTATTCTCTGGAGAAGCGATTTCCACGAAGTTCTGAAACGTCAGAAACTTATTTTCTACTTATAAGGATTTTACAAACGTATTTGATTTATAAAGTAGCTATTTTGCGAAGTGTTTCCGCGTCTAGTTTTTTCCTCAACTGGTATACTCAGTTACATATGTGTACACAAAATAAAGTCCACGTTTGTAAATCGATCACCGTAGAAAATGAAACGAAGCAGAATTAAGAATTACAGAGGCTGATCTACAGTTCATAGAATATATATGCAACACATGCCCTGATGCCTTTGAATACATTGTTTTCTGCTTATCAAAAGGAAGAGAAATTAACAGCTTAATGAATGAATAGAAGTTATGTCTATGTATTTATGCTGGGTATGACAGCAGAGGAATTTGTTCAGCTGTAAGCAGCTGGAGAAAACTAAAATTCAGGTAAGACATGGGAAGTAATACGACACATAATAGTTTCATTACTTATTACAGTTAGTAAACCAGTAGATACTATACTAGGGAACACTGAGATATATTACAAAATAAGGTAGTCTGCTTTTAATATATCCCCGTGTCTTATGTGATGTATCCGGAACCGCTTACAGTTGAACATACTAAGATAAAACTGCGTTCCGTGTTGATATATTCATCCAACTTTTAAATATTCACCAAACCACTAGTTCTTGTTGTTTCCGCTGATCAACGAATGCTCAGACGAGATGTGCCTTTAACACATCGATAACAACTAAATTCTACCGTGAACGCTTGGTACATGTAAGACATACCAATTAACAGAAGTAGGCTTGGACATTATGCTAGATAGCATACATAACATAAATTGTTGACTGTCGTTTCCTAAGTGTCACCTCCCAGCAAGACGAGACCGGTTATATTGTACCTTCAAAGAGCATTAATGGACAACTCTCATCTAAAGACCCTGAAAAAGTGACGTACCTCCGTGTCGGCAAAAGATACGGTGGATCCTAAAGGTGTTACTATCAAGAAATATATTTCACAGTTGCATCATGAGTAACCCAGTATAGATGATATTATCATGGGATGAAAGCAGTTATTCCCAGTAGTATGTCAATAACGAAACTGATAATGGGTATCCACGGTGGGAAACATTGGTTGTTTGTACCTCATACCTTCCGTAAGCCCTTAACATGACAGCACAAGTTAGATTAGAAAATCTGTAGAAGCATGAGAAACCTGCTCAATACTATGAAGAAGTGGCGTCGCCAAATCCAGGTCTATTTTCTAGCCGGGAAATACGGGCTATCAGTTAGCCCAATTGGGTATTTTTGTTTGGCAATCTAATGAAGAGAAAAGACTTGATCAATAAACCCTTGTTTATACCTGAGAGCTGCCTAGTATTACCGTTTGCTAATTCAGGTGTCGGTCAACAATGAATAATACATTGAATAATTTGACTTCTTTCTGATCATCATGTAAGGACCCGTTGTTTTATAGAAACTAGTTCGGTGAACAGTCACAACCAGTAAGACAGAATTGTCTTTGATAATTATGTATTACCTCATTCTTTCGTCATCCATAGAAACTTTTGAAGTACATGGTCGAGTTGTTGCACTGTACCTTTGATATTGAATTTGAGAAGATTCAGTAGAGGAATAACTCTACTGAATACGATCTCTTAATGCGTTATGAAGTTAGCCACTGATACAGCTATACTTGAAAATTCGGTCTTCGGTTGCAATATTGACAGTTCTTGGTACAAGTTATCCTCCTCAAAGTTTTACTGCAGCGTGTAAATGGAAACTAGAAATAGGAACATATATGTTACGATCTTTCCAAGTTCTTAAATAAACATTTAGTCACACAACACAAATAAGGCTATCAGTTGGTGTCCACTGCAGGAGTGATCTTGAAAATCGGTACAATCCTAACACCTGTGACTGCATGGAAACCAGTCTACAAAAAGCGAATCGTATACGATAATCACAGCAGCTTACAGGAAATCAAATAAATACTCACAATCAGATTTTTTTTTATCAATGTCTATGAACTACAACATGCATTTATTACTTGGAATATTAGAATTTTAGTGAACTTGTCACACATTCTAGTGTTCAGCTTCGGACGTCAAACACTGTGTATGCAACAGATTTCTTAAAAGACCTAGAAAGGTTTTATGTTGGATTTAAGTAGAAGCAACAACCACTAACTAAAATATTAAATAGATTGTAAATGTCAAGTGGATAATGACAAGTAACAAATACGAGTGAGATTGATAATGGTAGATCTATAAGCTACTGTAATTGTGCTGGACTTCTTACACAATGGAAGTCAACATATTTAAGCATTTGGAAACAGTAAATTAGTGATGGATTCCTGAAGAACCGTACAAAAAAAAATGCTCGGTGCCCCTTACAACACTTCCCTACTAAAGTACTAGATGTCTTAAAGTCGTATCTTACTGTTGTCAACGAAATGAAAATGTTCTTTAGACCAACGTTATGGAGGGTGGCATACTTAGTGGTCAGGCAGCGTACTATTCGGTGATAACACTTTTTTAACCTCTGATACCAGTATGGTATATATCATTTACAAAAAGAGAATAATTTTTATTGCATCGACTACTTTTCAACCGATCTCCAAATCACGACAATGTCGGGAAACAAACAGCTTAAAAATAGGTCACTGTGGTAGGTGCTATCTTTGTAGAAATTATTTTGAGTACCTTCGTTTAGTGACTATCCTATTCATGGCTGTCACTCCAGTCGACAAGCTGCTTCCTGAGTAGCATAATTATTTGCGTGCATCGTCGCTTACTTGATATAACCATTAAGCGTAAAACCCTCAGGTCTTCGTAACTGCCTCATTTTCCACTTCAATTAGTCACTATTTATCTTTCAGTTAGTCTCCGGTAGATTTGATTGCAGCCGTTGTCACGGTGAGTGAACACTTTTAGTGCTGTGCTTCGGTCTGCGATGATGGTTTAACTAAATCATCGGAAGTGGGTGGTTGTAACTGTGTCATAGTGAAAGGAGTTTTATTCTTACATATATGTCTTTATCTCATCTCTGATGTAGTAAGTGTTAAGAAGCACCCTTCCCATACACTCATTACTTCAATGATTTCAGTTCTTCCTTTTGATTTTGTTATAAACATCGGCAAAGCTGGTTATTTTTTAAATAAATTGTTCTTGATAATAAAGCCCTAGTAATGAATGGCCCAGGCATAAAGGAAAAACCAATGTTTTATCGCATTGATGTTAGCATTTTTAATTACGTCCTAAAATGCACAAGTAGATGAATGCTTTTTTTCGTATCAGTAAGCCAATTAAACAATGTTTAACGTCGGATCATTTGTGGCACACTGAGGATATCTTGTAGATAATGGGAACTGTCTGATATAGTGCATTGCGGACCACAGATAAGTCAAAGCTACGTTTCAATAATAAGACTTGAGATGCAGAGAGTTAACGATCATATTCCTTCATCAGAATATAAATGGATGAATATGTGATGGGCACTTCCGATTAATACGTTTAGTTTAATCCCATAGTACTTTGGAAGGGAATTCAATGTTGCTACGTACTTGGTTGGGTAAAGCACTTGCGACTTCCCTATTCATAGTGAATAATTGACAACAATATTTAAAGTATGATAGTTAAGAAACAAGATCTGGTATGCTGCATTAGGATATTACTTTGTCATGCAAGGAAACAAAAGAAAAATATCCCTTTGGAGGCGGAAACTGCAAGAAGCTGTTGCCAGAAAAAACTGCAAATATGCTGTTATTTATAAAAATAAACAATTTGTAACGCCTGACCCCTTTGTTACTTTTCTACTGTCACTTCGCTTTATAAAGCGCAAACGAAGGCATCTGAATTCTTAAGTTCCCAACTTGAAAAAGTTGTCATATCAGTAAAGAATGCTGAATAATGCAGCCTAGGTAACTATACGAATACCTTTGATTCGTTAGAGAATTCCGGCAAATTTACCCCAGAAAAGCGTTTGTTTAGTCCCACATACAATCGAAGCCGATTCTCAACATAAATATTTTATGCGTGGTTTGTACAGAAATGTGAATAAAAACGTTGGGTGCACTTAAGGATGTGGTGTATTTTCGAGAAAAACTGAACATCGTTGACGAGCAGTGGTTGTTGAAGGGGAAACCTCGGTCGCGACAGAGTTCAAACCGACAGCTTTTGATGTTGTCAACCCCGCGTTCTACCAGACTACCTACGAAACCCATCCGATATCTTATCCCTACTTCGACACCCATAGGCTTTGCCAAGCTACTATGATTGCGTGGTGTAAACTCCCTTTTACAACAATCAGACTATCTATCCAGCTATGGCTTACCATCCCGGTCAAAAGAGCGCTGAATCACCTCAGCTTATACTTCGTCGGGTAAATAATCCCGATACCACCGGTTCCTATTTCATCAACTAGATCTTTATTCCGAATGCAATCATAACTGAGTTTCAATAGCAGTCTGCTAAACCACAGATACCTTGAGCATTTGTATCAACTAAACTTTTTCCCTGTAAACAGACAAGTTTCGAATCGCACCTGGAGTTAACAACCACTTTGGCATTCGACCGCCAAAGACATGGAATCGTTCCACAAGACCTATAAGCGAGTGCGAAGAAATCAGTTAGTTTACACTAGCTCGTATAAAGATATTAGACTGCAACGTCATTCCTGAAACACTACTTGCCAATCAAAAATTGCACCCGTTGACACTCAGAGCAATCAGCGTAGGGCCCGAAAAATCAGGGCAATTACGAATTTATTGTGGGAGATTGTGATGAAACGCGAACTCATATCAAAATAGTTCTTACCAGGAAGACGCTGTGCAGGTCTCTAACGATTAATTGTGTTGAATAAACATCAGCTGCCATATAGATCACAGAGAACATAATAAAGATGCAAAAGTAGTTACGATGCTGGGCTGAAAAAATATATAGTTATCTCATTCTTACTAAAGTTGTCCGATGAAGACCACACTGTCAGCATATTCAGCGCAAATATTTCGACAAAACTGGAAAGACACAGCAAAGCAGCAAAATGTAAATAATCTCCATTACTGAGTGAGTTAAAAAAAGTCCAGAAATTCATACAACTATTTACTAAAATCAACATCCTCCAAGCCGAACTGCTGAAAATGGAGAAGCGCCATATAGTCTTTTGAGGTTCATCTTCCCCAACCGCTGCGCTTAAAGACGGTAGAAGATTAGAATCCTGATATAATTAATACTCCAGATATATCACATACCGTGCAGTGTGTTGCAATGCAAGAGCTTGTAGCAAGACACCATAGTACACATATTACTAATGCAAGTGGTGGAAGTATTGAAGCAACAACACATACATGCCGAAATGTTATGCAGGAATGCATACTACGAAAGCCATTAATGACCTTGGCGTTAAATAATGAGCTTGGCAGTCGAATAACAGTTGGAGCGTGAAACTATTACTTCTGTGTCCAAAATCCAATGTCTTTCAGAGGACTTAGCAAAACGGGCCATTTTTGAACTCTTGCATCCAGGTATGGAGGCTAGACTTTCATGATCTCACTTCTTTGGTTGTCAGAAAACTCCTTTCCCTTTTTGTTTAGCTTTTATTTAGAAGTTTGTTGACGAAATAGAAGGAACTTTTGCCTTACTGGCTTCCCCATCTAGAACCCGCAGACCACTATTTCCTGTGGTTTCCAACTTATTTACAAGTGGGGAATGGGAAAAAGTAGCAGTAAATATTTGAATATTCAGTTCGTTCAGAACAGACTCAACTCACACGTCAAGTAGGTATCAAGCCAGCGTTTAAAGGTTAATATAAGAGTAAAACTTGGGCACTGTGGTCGACTGAAATTCCATTTCAGTCTGTTAATTAGAAATATCACAGTGAAACGGTAGCATTTACTGGGTAAAGTCGGGAGGGTGGGGATAACGTTGTAGCGTCATACACTTCTCCAAAATCAATAGCCTAGGGTTTGACGACTTTCGACATTGATGCTGAGCTTGATAGTTTAACTGGACTCGCTAAGCTGAAGGCACCCGGTCAAGCATCCTCGCTATTTGGCACGCTGTCGTGTTACGTCGCATTGCTCGTATTCGACTCCCTAGCCAGTTAGTTGGAACGCATCGGTATTTTGGCATAACCATCCAAATATACTATTCCATCCGACTACGATATCGTGTTCTTCCTTGGTCTCGTATTCGTGGGTACATAACAAGTTCGAATAACTAGTGATTGGTCTTTGCGTCTGTCAAGTTCGCACTAGGACAAATCCTAAAGACCTTCTTAAGTTTAACAACTCTGAAGGACTAGAAGCTGCCAATGATACATGACCTACTATGTTCTGTTTGTGTCCGTTAAGATTGGTGCTACACACAAAACTGAATAGGTAAGCAGTGGAAGCGAATTGCCGTGGGATGAATGATAGTCTTTTTCCAACTTCTTGCTCTGCAAGACATTAAATCTGTGCAAGTTAGCGTAAGGCAACAAGTAAAGGCGAAACTACTAGCGTGTGATAGGAAGGGGAGGGGAGATGAGATATGGGTACGGCATTTCGAATCCAATGGAGGTTACTGTTTTTGAGGCGGTAGTCACCACCCCCTGACAGCAGTCAGAGGACCACTGAAAAATTGGAAGCACTAGAGAGCTGTTTCGCCCCAGTATGAAACTTTCCAGCTGTGTGCACCCACGACTCAGTTGGGTATCGAGCTCAGGACCCCCAGCTCGTACTGCGAATTTAGCTATCCAGCCACAAGTTCGGAGTTCAGTGGCTTACAGCTTCTGGCTTCTATCGATTCACAATACAACTTGTCTGTGAAAAGCCGTAGCCTCCCGGGTAAACTGGCAGAAACGGAGGTGGCCACCAACGGGTGACTTCAAGTGATAGTCACGCCATGTCGTGAACTGACAGAAGTTGGAAACTGTGGTCTAACTCCGACCTAGCAGCTGAATAGTAAGTACGTTCGCCGTGAAGCGTCGAGGTCCTGGGTTCGATCCATGGCCACGTCGCGGGCGCGTACTCTTGCGGGGCCCCGCGTCAGACCGTAACCTCTCTAGTACTCCCTGTTTTCACTGGTTCCCCAACTGATGTCAGTCTATGATGAATGTTGACTCAAAGAAGAGTTGGTTGTACCACTGAATACCACTGGAAAAGAAAGGTGGGAAAGTGAGCAGATGGTGATGGGGTGGTACGGCGGGCTACTGAGGTTGGAGACATTGTGCATGCTGGCGGTAGCCCTTTTGTGCCAACGTACCTATCTAAAGCTCTTTTTAATGACTGAACGGTGCCAGCAATCGCCACTTCTTGCTGTAAGGCAATCCAAGGTGCACGAATTCTAAGTGAAAGGAATTGGCTCTGATCCGTATATCAGCTTTTTGAACAGCGTCCTCTGCTAGATTCCTCATTCTTAGTCAGTATCGTATATTTTATGGTGCGGTTCACCCCATGAAAAGTCTTAAACACCGTTGTCAGGTCGCTTAGTTTCCCACGGCACTTAAGGGTCAACAGGTTAAGTTCTTGAGGTCACCTCGACCAGGTTTTCCCTCCAGTTCACAGCATCTTCCATCACCCCCTCCTCACCTTCAGGGGGCTTGGATCTCCCTTAAGTAGTACGTGAGGAAGCGCTCTTGCCAAGGTCTTGGAGACCATGAAGAAGAGGTCAGAACTGTTAGATTCAAGAAGCTTCCGAGTGAAGTGCATGATACAGCTGGCAGTTGCAGCCTTTCCTTCCTGGTTCATGCCGGCCTGTAAGCTGGCGAAGTAACCGAAGCGTAATGCCTCATCTTAGGTCGCCTGCGAAAAAATATTGGCTTTCATGGCATGGTTTACTCCATAGATCCAGGAGGCTAAGGGCACATTACATTGCACCCCTGGGTATCAGGGCTTCGGCTGTCTCTTGTAGCCAGAGGCTTCATCTCCGGTGGGCAGTTTTGTATCACTGGTGTCCTTTGTCCAACGTATTTTGACTTTATCTATGAATGGTAAGATGTGGGAGCGAACTTCTTGGACGGATCTTTCTCTGAAAGGCAAAAACACAGGTGGCCCAAGCATTCCTCAACTTAGCGCCCCAGTTGCAGGACTTCCCATCGATTGCGTGGAACCAAACAAGTTCACATAGCCTCAAGCTATTGTGAAACCAGTAGGTGAGTAGCCAAAAGTAGCTCACTGGGAAGTATCATTCTTGCTTCAGTTGAAATTATTCTGCCCACAGCCAGCAATATAACCAACTTTGATGTGTAAAGACGGAAGCATTAAACGTCTTAGTACCCTTTGAAAATCACTTCCTTTCTGGGCGAAAGCTACTTTTAAGTTGTTTTAATACCTGTTGACATGAAATTCCACAGGCCCATAAGTATCATTCGCAACCTCATTGCTGCGTGTACTTTGATTTTGTTCTCGTGATGCATTCAAAAATAATGACCACTCTTTTCATTTGGCTCCATTCATTTTGCTTGTGTCATCATGTTTAACCTCTTGTTTCGATTAGCATAACCACTGTATCTCGTTTTGGATAGAAACTTCAGTAGCTATCACAACTGAAGGTTAACAACTAAGGTTTGCGTATATATTTTGTTGTACAGAAAACTTTTCACTTTACTGTTTGAATGCATATTCATTGTTCAGCAGCTAATTGTTTCGGATTTGGTCGGCTTCGCTTTGGGTTTGAGAACTCTGGAAATTTGTATTTTCGTTACGTACCACAGTGAATTTGCCGTAACATAAGTTCTTCAATCTGGCTGTGCTCCTGTGGTCGACGATTCGGTTCATTCCCCATTGAAAACAAGTTTCAATACTCGGGATGTCCTGCTCTTCTCAATATTGCTTTGGGTAGCGGAAATTGAGCGGCTTAACCTTTGTTGTATGAAATACATATTATTATTGTTACTATTATTTTTAACCGGTTCATAATGCTGGTTTTAGACATGGGGGGAAAGCTTCGCCTGTGGATAATAAGTTGGGATTTCCTAATACTTTGTGTGACGATTAGGAAAACAAAGTGAATGCTCATGGTATCAGTGTGCACGATTCACGCAATGAGCCTGATTACATTGATTACCAGGCAGCTAGACCTTTGTGGAACGGGAAAAGGTCTGAAAGATAATCAGAATCAGGAGCTGCATCGTCTTAAGACACATTAAGAGTTGGGGATAAGACGGGAAGTCGTTCTAGGGCTAAGAATACTGTTGGATCACCTGAATCCAGTGATATGCAATATAACGTTGCATCGGATCCAAGAAGTTGTTTGGTTTCCATGTTGAACGACATCTCATTACCAAGGATAGAGACAATGTACTTTGATGGACAGCTCGGTCAGTACCACTTGTTTATGGGTCAGTTTAGGAATACGATAGAGACTAAGCTTACTGACAAAGACCAGGTGATGTCTTATCTCCTACACTTTTGCAAACGGAAGGCAAGCATAGCGACAAAAGCATGTACTTCACTGCCTGCTGACCTCGGATGTGATAGTGTCAGAGAAATCCTTCGTGATTTGTCCGGACAAGAGCGAATGGGTACCTGATCACTTATTGACGACTTGTTTGGAAATAGACGGTCGGTGGAGCACACTGTTGAGGCTACGAGTGAGTTCTTTGTGAAGCTTAGGAAGGTACAGATAACATCATCTCAGACAGGTTCCGCTGAGGGCTTGAATTCGCCGGTTGACTTGGAGGCCACTACCAGTCGTTTACCTACAGATTTACGAGGTAGACGGGCAGACGTGGCGGACAGGATTTTGATCACCGGGAGGGAACCTAATTCCGAAAACTTGGCCTGCTCCGTTGGGGGAGAGCTAGAGTAGTTCGATCGAGATAGGCCTGTTGATGAGACGCAGCTTGAAAGGGGACCGGGTGAACAGTTCTGGCTCACCCTTCGGCAGTATGTTGCGCTGCAATTTGGCGGGAGGTGCTAATCATTCGACACGTGATAGTGCCACCCGTACCATGAGTTGCTTCTTATGCTATGGCTCCCGCAGTCTCTCTTAATATCCGAAGTTACTGAAAGTGCCGACTGACGAAAGAAGATCAGCAGCCAAACAAACTGTCTGTTTAAAGAAGGGTCACGCAGATAAATCTTGCAATTCCAGACTGAAACGTAAGTTTAACGATTGCAAAGTACACCACAACTCTGCTGCGCGTGACGGACATTGGGGCCGAAGTAACTGGATCAACTTGACAGGAGGAATAAGATCTAAAGTGAACTTGAGAATCATTTCAGTGAGAATGAGGGGTCCAAAAGGGATCATAGAGACTTTTGCGTTGCTGGAAGACGGGTTGGACATGCCATTGATATTGAAAAACATTCTCAAGGATCTAGGCTTATTAGCAAGAAGTCTTTCCTGAGTGTGGTCACGGTGACTGAGACCTCCCTGTCATCTGGAGAGTAACTGGCCTGGATGAAGCTGAGGAGGGTCGTAAAAGAGTAGACGGAAGACTATCAGAATTAGCCGCTCTTCCTTTTTTCTAATACG